GCTCAGCGTCAACAGATCTATTTTCATTCTATTCTATTTTTCATTCCCAAAAAATAAATGTTAATTATAGACAGGCCGTTTCAAGAGCATCTRAAGTGCACCGGGCAGAGCAGCCGGCTGCCAGCGATTCCCTGCAGAAGGGGAGGAATCGGAAAACTTCCCGAGACTCCGGGCCCTTTCCCTGGAAAAGTGTCAAGGGGAAGGTGGCTGGGGGACAGCTAAGYGGCGGTCTCATTTCCAGGGCTAATTGCACTGCTGGCTCATGGCTGCTCCCCAAAGGAAGCAAATCTGCCCGTGCTCTCTCCGTTCGGAACCTGTTCTTGAATCATCTCCCAGATTTTAGTAACAAAATAGGAAGGGATTGTGGGAAGGGCCAAGTCAAAGGGGCCTCCAGCAATGTCAAGCAATGGGCATCCATGGACCCACTGGATACTCAAGGAGAAAAGAAGAACAGAGCAAGTAAATGCTCAATTCCCCAGAGAGCTTCCCTGAAATCAACTTTAGGATTGCCAGGATGCGAGTCTGGAAAATTCAGAGGCTCCTTCCTTTCAAACGCTGCAAAGAAACACATTCCAGGTCCATTCCAGTCTTTTCCCTGGCTGAATACGGGCGCTTGTGCTCCGCTCGCTCTGCACCACAACCAGTCCTAACTGGTGTAACCACAACTGGCTATGGTTGCAACTGGGGTACCACAACTGCACCCCAACCAGGCACGYGACGTCTCACGTGTTCTTTACCCTCCCAGCACTGAATATCCTTAAGCACCCAAAGCCCTCCAGCCCCTAGCTTAGGTAACACTGCTGCTATTCCGATATTCATCCTGAGGAAATTCATTCATTCATTCATGTTCATGTCACCACGAAGGATGAAAAGGAAGATAAAACAGCAGATCTCATTACATTTATGCATAACAATAACATTTCTCTCCTGTTCCAGGTAACTCACCTTCTTTCGTCTTGGGAAGTTGGCATTTCCCTCTCAGTAGGCATGTAAGCCATAACACAAAGCACAAATATTTTTGAAATTTTTATTTTATTTTATTTTATTTTATTTTATTTTATTTTATTTTATTTTATTTTATTTTATTTTATTTTATTTTATTTTATTTTATTTTTTTACTGTTCATGAAACTTCAGTGCCCAAATCACCAATTCTCCCTGTCTTGCAGCTGCACTTAGATTTGTCCGATGTTTTTGCTCTTGGTACGAGCTGCTCTTGATGCACGGAACACAAACCAAGTGACTACTAAATTTCCAAGTTGCCATTGAAATTCACTTTGTCATAGGCAGGGAATAAGTGGTAGCTGGATATACTCATAAAGCCCTTTTATTGGTTTCCTATCCAAATCTGATGCTGGTCCTTAGGCTGAGGTGCAACCCAAGGAAGTGCCCTTCAAGACAACAACAAAAAAAATCCTGTTCTTAAAATGTTTGAATGCCAACAAATGCATTTGAAATTTTATTTCACACTTAGCACTAAAATACAGCTTGATAAATCATATTACAAATTGGATTGCCGCTCCCATTTTTTAGTCCCCCCCGCAAAAAAAAATGTTAAAATGTCAAATCTGTTGAAATTCTTTTTTCTTTAAGCACAGAGAACACTTTTTTATCACCAGATTACCAAATATTTTCCCATGTGCATCATGCGCCCCATATGCGTATCCACCAAACAGAAGCAAACAGGAAAAGATAAAATCAGATGAATGAGACATCCAAAATGCAGAATCTGGAGTAATTAGCAGCCTTTTACACTCAGAAACAATTTTAATATAAATTATATCGTAACCTGGGGCCCAAGCCACGCAAACGTTAAAGAATACGAGGATATTTTATGCATGTGCGTGATTCTCCTTGAGAATACTTGCAAGATTAGAAACCAGAGCAGTACGATAAGATGGGATAGGATGGGCTGGATCTGTGCATCCCATGCCAAGGAGATGCTACTAACACAGCTAAATATTAGTAAAACCATTTGATTGATTAAAAAGTGCACAGGACCTAAGGGAAACGTTTCACATCTTGGGCGTCAATTCAGTGTTTTCTGGAGACTTTTCTGATCCTGGTGAGGCATCTAGTGCATCTAGAGGGACGTTGGGAAATTGGTGCATGTTTCACGTTTTTTTATGAATTATTTGGTTTTGCGATACTAGTGATCTGGAAAGTCCTTCTCAAGCCTCTTCCTTATGGGTTTACCAGATGTTTTTTATTATATTTTAGGGTCAGTGTTTTCCCTGCATTGACTATTTGCATTGCAGAGAAGTCTAAATTCAGCGCAGAGGCTGAATTTCCATCGCTGGAATGAGGGAAGCAACGGGAGCCTCCACCTCTTCCTATTCCTTAATCAAAAGGCTCTTCTGACAAGCCAATTTTAGGGAAATTTCAGTCCAATGCTAGTGTCTCTGCTTTCTTTTTTTTCTCTTTTTTTTAAACTCAAATTTTCAAGGGTTCAAGTAATTTTCTGTGAAGTAAAACAGGATTTTTAACACTTTTGTCTGCTTTGTCTCATCCTACAAGGACGCCAAGCAAAGCACTTCAGGAGGCTGATGTGACCTTGTCACTGTGACCATATGTGTTGGCACCATTTCCAAGCCATTTTCCCAGGAAAAAAACCCATTTCATTCCCTGCGCAAAGGTGCTGGCGAGTGGGAATGGTGCTGGCTCAAATATTGTGCCACCGTGGTTCACACACGGGAAGAGATCGATTCTCTCGTACCGAAGCAGTGTTGGAAAGGGGATAGGTTTTGTGCAGGTTATTCAAAAATAAAATAAAAAGGAGGAGAAAATGAGCAAAGGACAAAGTTTTGTCCTTTACAACTTCATTAAAAACACATGTGTAAGTACTTTCTTCTGGAAAAAAAAAATGTTTTTGAGGTTTTATTGTAGTTAAGATTTGGCTGCTTTGTCCTTGTCTGATTTTGCAGTCAACAACCTCCTGTCAGCAGTATTGTCACCAAAGAGCATTTTCAGCTAAGGACAAGATTTCCAGAAGGCAGAGTAAGAAGCAGGGGTTTCTATACGTCCGCTATAGGCTCCCACCCTTGCCACGAGTGACTAGAGAAATTCAGCGGCAACTCAAAATAGCCAAATTTGGTGGAAAAAAAAAAAAAAAAAAAAAAAAAAAANAAAAAAAAAAAAAAAAAAAAAAAAAAAAAAAAACTTGTCATGAAGATGCACCAAAATGTTGCATTCAGGTTAATCAACTAGTGTGTGAGAGATTAATCAAAAGGCATCTTCTGTGACACGTAACATAGGAAAAATCTGCTTTGCCAAACGAAGACAGAAAAGCTGCAAGAATGGGCACAACGCAACAGGAGCCGCTTTTTTTAGTTTTAGTTTTGTCCAAAGCCCCCAGCTCTGGGCCGGGCCGATGAATCAGGGCATTGCTGAAATTGCGAATGCTAATGCAGCTGTCAAAGATCTGAAGTGATTAAATTCGGGGGGATTAAAGCAATAAAACTCTGCCAACACGGTTGTCCCGAGGCAAAGGGCTATCTTAATAACCTAAAAATTGAATTTGGGCTCTCTTCACTGTGCCAAATCGTAAATAAAAACCCCATCACAGCTCATTTGGCACCTCGGGTTTCCATGGCAGATGTTGTTCTGGGGGACAGCAACAATTCCAGGGCTGTTTTGTAGTTCTTGGGTATGGACATTCCCATGGGAGGCRCGGGGGAGCCGACCCGTTTGTGTCGGGATACCCAGCGCCTCTCTCATGGGAAGCTGGAGCTTTGCACCCAGCGGGATGAACAAGAGCAAACCCTCGGGCCCCTCTTCTTGCTGCATCTTCCCTCACTAAATCCGGGGTCCATCCCTTAAAACTTGCAGTCCGCAGACGCATCCCTGTGTGTGACACCTAGGAAAAACAGCCTGTTCTCGCTCGGCTGCTAGACAGCCATAAAAACACTAAAACAAAAATATAAAGCTGCTGACACGGCAGCTCATTTGGTGATGAAGAGCTACGCGCAGAAACCCTGATTTCACAAGTGACAAAGATGCAGCCGACGAAGCCTGAAGGACCAAGCTGGTTATACTTGTAGCTGGCAAAACCATAATGCAAAGTTTATAGCTAGCGAAATATATAAAATTTAATGTTTAWCTTTAGTGCTGCCATTCAAATATACTTCCTTAGTCATTCAGGAGTAATACTTTCCTTCTGCTCCCTAGGAACCGCTTTGGAGACCCATAGTCTATCTCAGGATAAAAGCTTAACATGGAAATGTTCATTTGCTGTCCTACATTGATGTATTAAACATTTTATTTTATTTTATTTTATTTTATTTTATTTTATTTTATTTTATTTTATTTTATTTTATTTTCCTTCCAAATTCATGCCAGGACAGGGAATTCTGGACTATGATGGCACAATTCCTTTGTCACAGACTTCTGGAGCCGACAGTATCCATATATGCATTTTATTATTTTATTTTATTTTATTTTATTTTATTTTATTTTATTTTATTTTATTTTATTTTATTTTATTTCTCTTGAACACAACACGTCACAGACCCAGCAGCTAAACCCACTCCCTTCCTTTTTTTGGGACAGCATCAGACTGAGGACTCGGAGCAGCTATATCCCTGAGGCACCAAAACAACTCTGCTGTAGCAATGCCTCCCTTTGAACAAATCTGCAAGTTTGGGGAAAAAAAATGTGTTCAATGTTACCTCAAAAAGGAAGCGGGAAAAAAGGTAAAGGGTATGTACAATTTATTTTATGTTTGTGACTTTGCTTCTGTATTTCTTTTTCCCTGTAGGAAGCTGCAATACCGCTGCTCTAAACACTCTAAACACTCTAAACACTCTAAACACCGTTTAGAGGCCTCGCGGATAAAGTTTACGGCATCCACAAAGCCGCTGCAGGAAGCGGCCACCATGACCCCTCCGGCCCCTTCGTCACCAACCGCCGCCACAAAATGGCGGCCGCGGGGCTGCACGCGCCGGGGCGGGGCCAGCGCTCCCCCCGCCCGTTTCCCGCCTCGCCGCGGAGCGTCGCGTCACTTCCGCCGCGGCGGGCGCGAGGACAAGATGGCGGCGCTGGGGGAGCCGGTGCGGCTGGAGCGCGGTGAGTGCGGCCTTGTCCTTCGTGTCGGGCCTGGCCCCGTCCGCGGTGTCGGAGCGGCCTCCCCTTCCCGCCGCGGCACCCGGCGGGACGGAGGAGCCGCCCGGAGGCCCCGGCCCCTCCTGGATCCATGGATGAATCCCCGCGCCTTGGGAATGCGGCCTGGCCGGGCGGCCCTGAGGGCCTCGCGCTGCTTTTCCCTCCCTTCCCTGCTTGGTGCGCGCAGAGCGGCGGCGGGAGGCGCGTTTGGCCGCCGCCTCCCGCCGCCTTAGCTCCATGCAGAGCAGGGAGAGGGTCGGAGCCGGGCCTTGGCTTGCTGTGAGGGAGCCCTGCGCGCCTTGTGCTCGCTTAGCTCTCAAATGAGCGCAGCTGGCCCTCATCGAGGGGGTAAGACGAAACAACGGCGGGAAAAGCCCTGCCAAGGGGGCCTGTTGCCTGTCGAGGGGTGCAGAGAGGTAGGAGCCCATTCGCAGAGCGCTGAGGGCCCCGTGTGCCCCTTCCCTGGGGCAATTCCTCGTCCCAAGCAGGAATTGCATCTGGTTACTGACCCGTATTGATGGAATATGGAGGTGGCGCGGGATGAGAAGCGAGCAGGTAGGGTTTTGGAGCCTCCGTTGGTAGGGTTTTGCTGGGAACTTGGCTCCCGGAGCGCGTTCCTTGGAGGTGAGAACCGCTGTGCAGAGCGGCGCCCTTCTCCAGGTGTGTGGAATAGCTGTTGGTCTGCAGGAGTTTGAATTATATTGTGATTTACATCTTTTTTTTAATAGTTGTTTTTTTTCCCATGATTTTGGAGTGTGGGGGGAATCAGTGGTGCTCCTAGTGCGTTTTGAGGGGAATTACCCCCATTTGTTACCGCTTTGSTTCAGGTGACCGCTTGGTGTGAGGCCTGAGGACGTTAGGAGGGGACATTAGATTCCCCTTTCCAAATGGAGGGATGRCTTAGAATTTTCATGGATTTGTGGCACGAAGGGTTAATGAGAGATGACGCCCGGAATCTGGGGCGTTTCGGAGCCTGTGGCTCTCCCTTGCTCGCCCATTCCCATCGAGTGGATCTGCATCCACACGGAGAGTGRTTGCCTAAAGGATGGGTACTGAAGGAAAGAAAGCAAAATGTTAGAGATGGGGCCCTGTGCTGCGCTTGTTCCTAATCTAAAATTACTGGTATGGCAGAAAGTGTTATTAGATTAATCGCTGCTGCTTTGCACCCACCTGGTAATGGAAGTAGTCCCTTCCAGCTGCTTTTTGGAGACATTGTGCCACTTTACATTCAGGGATGTATGTGGCTCAGAATCCTCACTCTTGCACATCTTGGGAAATAAAATAAAGCAAGATAAATAATAATACGTGGTGTTTCGCTCTCGCGGAGCGGCCAGGAAGGTGTCACGGTGCCTGATGTGTTTGGTGCCCTTCTTGACTTGATTGCACTGGAWTCGGTTCAGTTTGAGAAAAGAAAAGGCATTTATGGCAATATGGATGGTTCTTGATTAAGAACGAGTTTCTAAGAACTAAAAATAAAYGGTTTTGATTCTCAATTCTGGACTACAGAACTCTCAGCCAAGAATATCAAAAGGAGTTGGGCTCTTTTCTGAGCCCTTTGAAAAATCAGCTGTGTTACAGATAGTGTCAGTCTTTAAGGAACTGGTAATGTTGAAGTAGCAAAGGGAAGGTAGAAAGTTTATTAACGAGTAAGTGAGTTTTAATCCAACGTCTGTGATTCCAAGCAGTGTGTTGGGTGTTTAATTAATATAGATGCAGGCTGCTGTTACCTCAGTAGGCCAGGTAATGTTCAGCCCTTCTGTGGGGAGAGCACTGGGTGTATTTTGGTGAACTAGTTTTTGAGAGAGAAGGGCACGTGAGCACGTGTGAGGYGTTTTGTGTGATTGCAACAGGACTGTGTCAGTGCAGCAGGTAACTGGTGCAGTGCACTACACAAAAGTGGTGATAGGGTGTGTGGTATATCAGGAAACACTTCAGCATTGTTTAAACTTCAAATTAGATTGTATCTTCCAAAATATATATATATGTGTGTGTGTGTATATATATATACACATATATATATATGTGTGTGTGTGTATATATATATACACATATATATATATGTGTGTGTGTGTATATATATATATCAGTGGTGCTTCTGGGTGTTGTAGAAGTTCAGTCTGTAATGCTGGACTAGAAAAGATAATTTAAAAGTGAGAAAGTAAGATGATGTATTGTGGTATTTTTTGTAGGTACGTACTTCTATGGAAGAAATGAACCTTTAGTGTGTGTATTAAGAATATTACTTGTTACATGCACAAGCACATGTATAGACTCTCTTAGTTTAAAACAAAATAACCATTCCACTTTTTTTCTTTTTTTTTTTTGGGCAGATATCTGTAGAGCAATTGAGTTGCTGGAGAAATTACAGAGGAGTGGAGAAGTGCCACCACAAAAACTACAGGCTCTGCAAAGGGTCCTTCAGAGTGAATTCTGTAATGCTGTAAGGGAGGTAAGTTCGCCTAAAGTTATCTTCAGYTAAAAATGAACCATTAAGGATTGTTTTTTTTCCCTCTTTGCATGCAACGTAATAAGCTCGTTTTGTCCTTACTTAAAACTGAACTTATGAAGCTAAATAGAAGGCGACTTACTGAAAAGGTCAAAAGAAAACAAACAGGGCTCAAGTGGCAGATGTATTAAATAATGAATTAGAAAGATAACTGCTTTTTATGTTATTTTGAGAGTTTGATTAGCAGCTTGCAGACCATAACGCTGATGCCAGGCAAGAAGGGACAAGGCATCAGTTCCCTCTGCTTTCCCCAAACCTTCTCAGGGACAGGCAGCACGATAGCTGTGCACCCCCTCATCCTCGTTCTAGGTGCTCTGTTGGAGACCTTAGGTGCTGGCGTCTGCCCTGCAGTGGTTTTGGTTTCTAATTCCACCTCTGCTGCTAACAGGAATGTTTAGGCTCTCTATGCATAGACATATTTAATGCTCTCTTCCTATCAAAGAGTAAATGGTTCTTGCCAGGTGCCTGGCAGGTGGGGGCGTAGGTTGTGGTGTGACCTGAGCAGAAGAGGTCCGTGTTTCCTCGTGCTTACACTGTTCCCCCTCTGAAGGTCTATGAACACGTGTATGAGACAGTGGACATCAGCAGCAGCCCGGAAGTTAGAGCTAACGCGACAGCAAAGGTAAAAGTTCAGTTGTGACGTGAGAAAAYGCTGTGTTTATTGCCCGTGCTCTGGTTTCTGAAGTAACAAAATGCACAAGGACTTTATCTAGTTGTCTGATAAGTGTTTCAGTGTAGTGTATCATTGCCAGGTATAACAAAACTTCTTATTTTTGAAGWCTTCCATTTTAACTTTATTCTTGCCTTTATTTTTTTTTCATGCTGCTGTTAGCCTCATTTGTCTTAAAAACTAAGTAACTTGAAATAGGGTATTTTTTACCGTCTCTAGCCACAGCTCTGTCTTCCATTCCTCACCCATGTGAAAAACTTGCTTCTCGCAGGCCACTGTAGCTGCRTTTGCAGCCAGCGAGGGGCACTCCCACCCCAGAGTGGTTGAACTGCCCAAAACCGAAGAAGGTCTCGGGTTCAACATCATGGGAGGCAAAGAGCAGAATTCCCCCATCTACATCTCGCGGATCATCCCAGGCGGCATCGCGGACCGGCATGGCGGCCTCAAGCGGGGCGACCAGCTGCTCTCCGTCAACGGAGTGGTAGGAATTGGCTGCGGCTCCGTGTGGCAGTAGCTGCTGCTTTCCACTTGAGGGCACACGGGGAATACGTGCACAGCCAGCTCCGGGGCTTCTCCGGGCAAAGCTGCTGCTTTTGCTTTTCTTTTCCTTTGTTTTTGTTTCCCCTCTCTCCTATAAGAGCAGCTTTAGGCTTCTGTGGAGTTGTACCCTGTAAGAGCTGCTGGCTCATGCCACAGTTATCCAAAGCAGGAGGGTGCTTTTAGGTGAATATTTCAGATTCTGGGAGGTTATACAAATCTAGTCAAAACTCTGTTCTGTGAAATAGCATTAGAATGTCCTAATGTCTTCCTGTTTAATCTAAGCTGGATGCAGATGATAATATAGTTTTATGCAGCTTCTTGGGTAAGTAGTAAATTATGCAGTATTGCTTTAGAGTGAGCTGAAGTGCTTTGATATCGCAGTAAAAATGCAGCTGTGCAAAGTCAGAACCACGGGCAGTGTTGTTTTTAGCTGTGTGATAGCTGCACTTAAGTACTGAGCTTCAAAACCTGAAATGTTTTAGCTTTATTTTAAGGAGTATGTTGTGTTACTGTGAATTTTTATTTTTAATAAAGAATTAAAGGCTTTTAATTAATTAGAGGCTGCAGCTGATCTTTGGTTTTAGGACAGCTGTTTGTCACATACAAATAAATAGCGCCCAGAAACTGGATTTTCTTTTCGGAAGCTTTTACTGACTGTTAGCCTAAAATGATGTTCTTCACATCTAGAAGCCCAATTTTATTGTAAAGCTGAGGGTCAACCCAAGGCTGTGCTCTTCTGAGCAGTGTTTTTACCGTGTCAAAGGCCTGCACACTTGCTGGGTGTTACCTGCTAGCATGGATCGGGGACGTGCCTGGCTTGGGGCGGTGGCCCAGGGTCCTCCCACCTTTTCCAGGAGACATCCAGGCCGCYGCGATGCAACTGCCCTTGGCCTGGCCTGGTTGTCATTTTGGAATGATGTATTATATACTAATGGCAAATTGAAGATGACTATTGAAATTAAAATCAATGATGAAAGCAGAAAAGTAATCAGTGTTCTGAACTCACTGATTTTATGTATAATTTTTTAGATATCTGGCCTCCTGTTTTCCTTATTTCATTTGCTGTGTGTAAGAAAACACAATGTAATAATTCAGTATAAGGCTCACGCCAAAAAWTTGCACTACTCATTACTACAATTTTAGTCTGTGTAGTGGTTTTTTTAGTCAGTATACTTGCCATCACCTCTTGCTTAGTGATTTGTTGAATACACTAATGTACTTTACTGTTAGATTATAAATACGTTTTAAAAACAGACAAGAACCTGCGTTTTCAGTGTGTCTCCTTTACTAACATGATGCTTGATGGTTTATCCTTTGCAGAGTGTTGAAGGTGAGCACCATGAAAAAGCAGTAGAGCTGCTGAAGGCTGCCCAGGGGAAGGTCAAGCTGGTGGTGCGATACACACCGAAGGTTCTGGAAGAAATGGAGTCAAGATTTGAGAAAATGAGATCAGCAAAACGCAGGCAGCAAAACTAACTTTGTATGTAGTGACTCAGAGGAAAATAGATCCCAGTTACGTTTTGTAGGTTGCTTTGTGACTCGGTTGATTTGCTGCCTGGGATAGAAAGAAAACACTGTTCTTCTCGTAGAATTGCAGAACTGTTGAGGTTGGAGGGGACCTGTGGAGAGGGTCTGGTCCAAGTCCCTGCTCCGAGGAGGGTCAGCTGGAGCGGGTTGCTCAGGGCTGTGTTGGGTCAGGTTTGGAGCATCTCCTGGAGCGAAGGAGCCTCTTTGAGCAGCCTGCTCCAGTGTTCAGCCACCTTCCCAGCCAAAAAAGCAAGTTGTTCGAGCTTAAGCAGGACTGCCTGCCTTGCAGCTGGTGTCTGTTGCCTTGTGTCCTTTCAGTAGGTACCGCAGGACTCTGGCTCCATCTGCTCCTGGCCCTTCCATAAGACATTTCCCCTGGGAGCCTGCTCTTCTGCAGGCCTCTCCTCGCGTGGCAGACGCTGCAGTTGCCGGCTCGTGGTCGGGGTGCCCTCCAGGAGCCCCTTCCTGCTCTCCAGCCAGTCAGTCACTAACATTRACTAGTGCACAGGGATTTTCTTCCACAGGGCCAGGGCTTTGCGCTTCCCTCTGACCCTCCTGAGGCTCTTCAGCCTGTTGAGGTGGCTCTGTGTGGCAGCCCAGCCACCCTTCCCAGTTCGGTGTCAGCTGCAGCTTGTCACCTGCTCTGCCCCTTCCTGCAGGTCCCTGATGAAGATGCCGAGTGCCCTTGGCCCCAGGATCGAGCCTGGGGCACGTCACTAGTGAGTGGCATCTGGCTGGGCCTCGGGCAACTGCTCCTAACCCTTCAAACCTGGCAGTTCAGCCTCTCTCAAATGCTCTGTTTTCAGTTCCCACGTCATTTTCACCATTTAAAAATGTGTACCTTCAAATTRGCCTAAGAATTTCTGGGGGAAAGAAAAGAAAAGGCATGTATGCTGACACTGAGTTGATTTTTATAAATCTTTTACAGGTCAAAGCTTTTAAGCATGAAACGAACTTGCAGCTTTTTTAAAAAGACATTTAATGAGAGAGATTTCTACAGTTGGCACCCTTTTCTTTACCCTCCTTCTGGCATTATTGAAAACTGACTCTGCAGGTTTTTTTTGCTAAATGCTTTTGGAAGCAAACGTTATGTAGCAGGATTTTGGCACTTTTCTTAGAACACGTTGTATATCAACTGCAAAAGCCTAATCATGATCTACTGTGTAGCTGATGATGATACTAGATTTTGTAATTTTTTTGGTGAGTACATTATTTTTACACTTCTGCTAAATCATAACTCGTTACTCTGGAAATTTTTATTACCTCACCTGTAAATACTTTACAATTAATGTTCATTTATAATGACTTTGTAATAGCTGACATTTACGAATTTGCAACAATCATTCCTGTAATTTTTTTATTATTTTGTACTAATTTTGAAGCAGTTAAGGGGAAAATATAATTGTGATTTTAGTTCTGGAATGCCTCTCCAAATGTATTTTTGTATTCAGCAAAAAAAGGCAAAATATGTTAATGCAGTGCGAAAATTCCAGACGTTTCCCCAACGTTCTGCTGKTTTTTTTAAAAAAACAAAGCATTGATTTTAGTTGTCATAACTCTGTTGTGCTTTCAGTATGCTGAGTTGTATTCTTCTCTTGAAGGGCGACTCTGCAGAATTTGGAACATTTGGTACCTAAATGACTGTTACATTCGTACGAGTAATAATTTCTAATGTATGTTGTGTGCAGAGGGACCCTGACGGGAGGATTTGCCTGGGCTTTGTCACTGACCTGCTCCTGATTTGGAGGGCTCTTGTTTTCCCTGCAGGCGTAGCAGCACCGACGTGCGCCGGCAGCTCGATGCCCAGAGCAGAGGCACCTCCAAATCGGAGCAGCTCGTGGCATGGACACAGTTGCGTGCCCTCCTGAAGGAGCTGTTCCTCTGGAAAATGGGACGCTTTTGGGAATCTGCCAGGTTTGGGGCTGCACTTGTAGTTCCAAGCAAAACAAGTCACCTTTTGGTATAGATTTAGCATTAAGTTGCAAGGCAGCTATGACTGCATCCTAATGACTGTGATTAAGTTGTATCTTAGAGGCTTACGCTGAAAAGGGGCAGCTCGTACTAGGTGGCTAATCTCTTATCTCTTTGTGTGCAGCACTGCGATGCAGCACGAGTTTAATTCAGCATGTGAAAGAAAGAAAAAGGTTAARGCTCTGAAAATGCACGAGTTTTGTGCTTTTTCAGTTGATCTTCTGGCAAAGAAATCAGAGAAGGTTGTTACAGCCAAGCAGTTGCTTTCTGCATGTTTGCAAGCGTGGTGAGCCCACTTGCAAAGAGAATAGGATTTTGGAGTTCCTGATAGCCTGAAAATGCAATATAACTATTTATCAGCTAAGCGACGTGGAGCACTGAATTGCATGGTTGAGTATCTGTCATAGGCCTCTGTGAGCAGGCTTCATGTTACTGATAGGACCGTGTTGTGGAATTGTATATTTTTATGGAGCAACTAATGGTTGAAGTATTGAGACCAAAATCAATAGTTAGACCAATCATGGACGTGTTTTAATTTAATTGTAAGATAGTAGAGATTTGTTTTAGAGAGAGAAATTTATATATATATATATATATAAAAATATATATATATGAGATGTATGGGTACAAGATAGAAATGTGTGTTAAGACCTGTATCCCTTATGCTACTGATGGAGAGTGGTGGGGTTTTTCTGTTATTAAAAGGAAATATTTAATTTACTGCTAAATGTGGTGGCATTCTCATTCTGAAATGTAGCAGTTGGATACAGTTTGTCTGTAAGCTGCTACAAAACGTGGGGAGCTCTGTCTGGGTGTAAAGCTGTTGTATGCGTAGGGTTTCGTAAAGAGCTAACTAGCTATGACAAAAATACTCCCAATAAAGAGACAGCTCACTAAAAGTCCTATTTAATGCTCTGGAAAACCTTGTAACGTTAAGGAAATGATGGGTGAAAGTGTCTTGGTGTGTTCCAAAACACTCGACAACTCTTTTATTTTTTACTACTGAGCAGTGCCTGCACTGTTTTAATAGGCAGTCCCTACACACTTGATGTACTGAGTATGTGAACAAGTTAGAGGTGTCATTTTTGCAGAAAACCTCTGCATCTGTTGCTGCTGTGAGGGATCTCTGGGTTTTATCAACAGGGAAATAAAAGCTGAATTTCACCTGTGTTGTCCGTGCCTTTGTTCCCCTCGCTTCCCTTTCCTGAATACTCTGTCTTTGAGGCTGCTCAAAGGGGTGTTCCTAATCCTTGGGGCATTCCCGAGCACTAGCATTGAGTGTGGCTGTGCAGAGGGGGTGATATTAAGTCTAGTTCTTATTTTGCTCTCCTCAGTGCTTGCAGATRTTCCTTGTTTATTGGTGTATCTTGCAACCAGTTGGAGATGCAAAGAAAAACCAGGATGCTGTGAAGTATCTACAGTATTTCAAATCCTCCTGCATTTTTGTGACTTCTTATGTTTCAGCTGCATGAACTTGTGTAGATCTTTTTATCTTGTGTATTATCTTTTGTGTATTATCTTTTAGTTGTTTAAAACAAGTATCTCAAGTAATGACACGTTGAAGTTCTCCAACCCGGCTTGTCAGCTCCTCAGGAAAACGTGCCTCTTATGAAGCTACAAACTGAGATGAAGGCAGGAGAGATGCCTGAGTGCTGAACCCATTTTTTTTTAATGAGTAAACACATAAGGTTGTCAAATGTAAGTAAGCTTGACTGTGAATTGAAAACACATGCAAAGTATTTGTATGAGTATTTTTTTTATTTAAGGACTGAAAGCACATGAGCTGGAAATGCAAGCACACTTAAAATTCGATTTTGAAAATCAAATTATTTGATGTTTGGGCTTATTAGATACTTGTATCTGTGTTTCTAAATACAGTTCATATTCATAGAGAAATTATATATTTTATATATGTAATATAAATTTCAATACAATGCTTTTTCAGAAAAATAAAAAAGGCTGACTGAAGTTAATATCATAAATAGACCATCAGACAGTTATAATTTACATTTTTTAATGTGCAATTACAGATTTTGATTTTTTTTAACAGTTTTTGAAATTGTGTGCTGGAACGTGCCTGGTTTCCTACTTAGGATTTCAACTTTGATCTAGCAGTCAAGATCCAAGCTGCAGCTGGAAGAGAGGGTCAGAGCCTGGATCTCATCTCAAACGTGTATGGGCTGAGCAAGCCCAAACTCGTTTAGGAACTGAAGACATGAAGCAACCTTGGTGTTTTGCTGCATTACTGCTTTCTTGCATTCTGATCACTTGCTGCAAAAAATTAACACCAGGTTTGACGTGACAGATAATTTTCGCCCTAATTTTAAAGTACAAGTAGGGTGTTTTTCCTTTAATATGAATTTCTTCTGTTGCCTTTTCACTATTTTTTTTTTCTTTTTGTAGTAGTATGTTAATTTGCTGACAAGTTAATTCACCTTGATACTATAAACAGGGCTAGTGGAGACTTGCCCGGATTTCTGCATGAAGTTGCAGGATTTTTATTTTAGGTTAGTGCCTGTTGTCTTTTGTGTATTGCAGGGGCTCCACTACAGGTTTCCACATGTTTTCTCAATAAGAATGTAGAAAAYTGATCTGTGGAGTACACAAGGGGGGAAAATAATAAGAAACCCCCCAAACCTCCCTGAGAAGAGGCGCTCTTCCTGAGGGGTGCGAGCGTGGGACCCCTGTGCCTCGAGGTAAGCGACAGCACCTGGGCAAGGGCCTTATCTAATCACAACTCCAGCTTCTCCCGTGCCCGGGCAGCACGGGGGGTTGTCCCAGGAAAATCCCATCGGCGCCGGGGCGGCTGGCAGCAGCCGAGGAGCCCGCGGGGAGGCACRACGTAGCGATTTAGGGAGGCGTTTGGATCGCAGCAGCGCCTGGAAGTCCCTGCTTTGGGACGGGATCCGATTGTATTCCGCGCTGTACAGGTTGTACGAGCGCAGAACAAATAGCCTGGCTCCAGACGGCCTCGATCCGCTGCTATTAAATCATGTGTTTCGTAACTGCCATTGTTAGGAAGATAAGAACGTRAATATAAAATACAAGCAAAAATGGCACAAGACTTCTTTTGCTTGCGGAGTTTTCCGTGTGATTTTTGTCTGGGGCCAAGGTTTTTTTTCCTGCAAGGAGAACAGAAGTGGGTTTGCCCCTCATCTTGGGCTGAGGGTTTGGGGGACGAACCCCTCCGGGGGGTCTGTGCTGCAACCTGCAGCTGTGGGAGGTGCTGCGGCCTCAGAGGGGCCGAGCGGGGCCTGCTGCCGAGGAGGAGGGCACCGAGTGAAGCAGCAAGAACAGCTCTAATTAGGCAAGCAGGGTGCAGCTAATTAACAGAGAAACGCAGGGGATAAAGGGCTGGGGTGTTTGTGTGGTCCTGGGCCCCGTTCTGCACCGCTCAACGCGTTGGTCGCTTGGTCTGAAACGTCCCCGCAGCCTCTGCGTTAATTTCTGTGTCACGTCTGGTGTTAATTAGTGGCATTATGTAATAATTAATACTGGCATTAATAAGAGCTGACACGCAGGGAGGGTGTTGGTGYGGTGACCAGCAGATACATGTCCAAGCAGCGACTCGTTGTGTGACCTCCAGGACAGATACCCTTAAAMAAAACCTTCCCATAATTTGTTGGCTGCTGGCAAACAAGGTGATCTCCAAAGCAGGGAATCTCTACTGGCTTCTGCGGAGGAAAAGGAGTTATTTGTCTGGATTTCTGCTCTGCAGCATAACCCCCACCTGCAAATTGGGGGCCAGGCTTTGGGCTAAGTTCTGCTGGGCTAAGGCTTCTGGTTGTCAGGAAAAAAAATAATAGTAACATAATAATGGCCTGTGATKTAGCAGCAAGGAGGTTTTGCTGAAGAACAATAGCCGTGTCCTGTTGTTCACCGCTGGGTTTGTTTTGCAGGGGCAGTTACATTGGCYTTAACCTCCTCCTGCAGAACAGAARGCAATGATAGGAAGTGAGTTTAGGTGAGGAAAAATATAAAAACGGGGGACAAAAATTTACCAGGAAGGGTAAAATAGACCCTAAAAGTGTGCTTTTATGGCCCAGACTGTGAAGGCAGCCGATTGCTACCCATCGGACTGATAGCCTCGATGATAAATCTTAATGATTTAAGATCTAGGCTGGGTTCCTAGAAGAACCGGACGGGAATGCAGCCCGTTGAGCCGAGTTTGGGGCTGCAGGTGCAATGGGGAGGGATCCGCTGGTAGCTCATGGGGTCCGCTGCCAAAATGAGTTATTTATAGTGCAGCACTCACAGTGTGTGCGTTAAAACTAGGGGATTTGGCGTGTTAGCGCCGTGCTGAGGAGAGCACAGGGCGGACTGGGCCTTGGTGGCTCCCTGTATCCATGGGCATTTACTTCCATAATGCTGCCCGGCATGGGCGTTATTCCCTGATGAGATGTCCTYTGTCTCCAACTTTTTGGGGATCCCAACTGCTTTGGGATTTAATGCTATCTAATGATTAAAAGGGCGGAGGAGGCAGGGGGTTGTCCAAAGGAGATATAGGTTGGCCTTACGGAAGCCCTAGCCGTGGTGGATGGGGATCGGGGCCGTTTGGGGACCGTTTGGGGACCGTTTGGGGACCGTTTGGGGACCGTTTGGGGGCCGTTGCGGGCCGTTGCGGGCCGTTGCGGGCCGTTTGGGGCCACCCTCCGCTCGCTCCCCCTCCCACAACCGTCCCCCGCGGCCGCCCCAGGCTGCCCCGCGCGGCGGCGGGGGCGCCCGCGACCCCGCCCACGCTCTTTGCATATTCATGAGCGCGCGGCCAATGGCGGCGCCGGGGCGGCGGCGCTATTAGCATGTGCGGGGCGGGGCGCGCATGGCGGCGGGGGCCGCGCGGTACCTGCCATGAGCGGCGCGGAGCGGGCGGCGGGCGGGCCGGGCCGCGCCGCGCGGGGCTGAGCCCCCCCCCGTCCCCAACACACACATAGATTTATTTTTTTTWAAAAATATAGGTTTTTAATTATTACTTTTCGGCATTCGCCGCCCGCTCGCCCGCCCGGGCCGCGGCGATGCRGTGCGCGGCGCTGCTCGGCCTCGTCGCCTGGGGCCTGTGCGGCGCGGCCGGGCCCGGCGGCGGCGGCGCCTCCCCGCCGCCCTGCCCGGCCTCCTGCAGCTGCGACGGCGACCGCGGCGTGGACTGCTCGGGCCGCGGCCTGGCCGCGCTGCCGCCCGGCCTCAGCGCCTTCACGCACGCACTGTGAGTCCGGGGACATGGTGGGGGGGAACACCGTGGGGGTGGCGGGGACAGCGACACCATCCCCCGGGCCTCAGTCCGCGGCGGGATCCGCTCTCCCGCCGCCGCTGCCCGAGCACGCAGCCCTGGTGGCCGCGGGGTAGACCTGGTGGCCGTGGCTGGGCCGGGGGCTGTGGGTAGACCTGGTGACCCTGGGTAGACCCTAGCGGCTATGGGTAGACCTGGTGGCCGTGGCTGTGCCGGGGGGCTGTGGGTAGACCTGGTGACCCTGGGTAGACCCTAGCGGCTATGGGTAGACCTGGTGGCTGTGGCTGTGCCGGGGGGCTGTGGGTAGACCTGATGACCCTGGGTAGACCCTAGCGGCTATGGGTAGACCTGGTGTCCGCAGGTAGCCCTGGCCCTCCCTGCTCCCCTTTCCTGGATCCATTTGTGCTCCTTTCCGAAACCTCCCCAGCCCTGGGGACACTTGGCTGGTCTCCTTAGATCCTTGTATTCCTCTTTTCTCCCTTTTTTCCCCTGTTTTTCACATTGCTGCTTTGCGGTGGGTCTGGCATTTGGTGGCTCTCCCTCTTCCCATCGTCCTTGCGCGCTCTCCGGCCCATTTTGCCAGGTTTTTGGCGCTGGTTTTTGTGCTCTGGGCTTGCTGTTGCTGTCGCCCTGTTGTGTCAGGCCAAGTCCTGGCCGAGCGGGGCTGGCGGCTTCGGGAAACGCTGCGAGAAGGTTGGAATGAGGGGGAAAACTGCCGGAATGTGGGAGCGAGCACGCTGGAGTCAATAATCACCCTTTCCAGCCCTCGGGAGGAATCCAGCGGCGGCTGCGCGCTCGACACGGAAATGCGGGAGCTGTAACACCGGGAATGGGCAGCAGGAGAAGCCACCTCAGCCAGGGCCGCTGCCTGCGCCGTGCTCGGAGCACAAGCTCCTGTTTACCCGGGGAAAATTGCACGAGGGCTGCGCGCCCGGCTCCGCTCCGGCCTCCTCCTCCCCGTCGGCACCGTCTCGGTGGGAATCGCGCCGAGTTTGCGGCTCCCGAGGGTTTGYGGCTGGATCCTGGGGCTGGGATCCTCCTCCTCCTGCCCCTTGTGTGAAACGGAGCRGAGGGGGTTTGGGTTTCGGCGCTGCCCGGCTGTGGTTTGGGCCCCTGCACGGGAGGAACGGCTTGGAAAATGAAAATCACTTTTTTATTATTATTATTTTAATGCCGGAGTTTGTTGAAGAGAAATCCTGTTTTTCCTAGGTGAGCTGTTCCATCCTGCGGCGTATTTGGGAATTGGTTGCACTTCCAAGTTATTTAAACTTGGAAAACTAATTCCAACTAAACGAGCAGGTTGCTGGAGCACTTAATGTGATGTCCTCTCGCRGGAAGAGTGGCCTTGGTGAGAGCATGTCAGTAAAATAGGTTCCCTATGGGCTTCCTGCACCTGCTTTCTGCATTCCTCCGTGATAAAATCCCACGATTAAACCCACCTGAAAAGTACCGGGCACGTGGAAGGTAAAAGCAACACATCCTTGGCTGTTTTAAAAAAGCAGCTTTACTTATTTCTGAAGTGACAGCAGTTTTGAGCACAGCTACCTGTTCCTCAGTGTCCTGTGACACAGCTTACAGCCTGGGAGACCTGCTGCTGAAGTGCGGTGGTTAATGTGCCGGTATTTTCTCCTCCACATTTAGTATTGATAATTACCYGTTTAACAAGGTTGTTTTGTCAGCTTGTTGCCTGCGAGGAAGTCAGACAGTGSCTCGTGATTTTGACAGCAGAACCTCAAGGTTTTGACACAGTGAAGGTAATTAAAGCAGTTCTTGAGTCTGATTTTATTTTCCTAATTAACTTGGTGACCCCAAAGTTCAAAAAGAAGACATGGAATTCAATTAATTCTTCGGGGCTAGCAGAATTATTATGGGACTTGAGAACAGTGTCGCTGTCTTAGGTAGGACGGACTGACTCCGTGCTGCGGTTATGCCCAAGGTGCTGCCTTTGGGAAAGGGGAAACCCTCTCCCTTGTTTATTTCCATGTTTTTTGGTTCCCCCTCCGTTSGCGAGGGCTGATGTTTTCCCCTCGGGAGGAAGGGAAGTGGCCACGGAGGCTCCTCCATGCAGACCCCCTGGAAAGCCGGCGCTGATGTCCTGTGTGCTCCCAATTCCCTGGATCYGGCCTGCGCCACCCTGGGATCTGCTCCTCACGGATTTACCGCCTRGGTGTTTGGGAGCTTCCCTGACCACCGTCTGCCCAGGTGCAGTCTAGCTGGATGCCGGGAATATGTGGGATATGGATATGGGATGGAAAACGCGCTGGGGGTTCCCTTTTCTTGCCTGCTCCCTAAAGGAGGTCTGCGAAGCTCCTGCCTTTTGGAACCATGTTTCCTGTTGCTCTTAGCACTTGCTTTAAAAATTAAGAGAGACATCAAGCCTCTGTGCTAATATTGACCAAACTGTTAATATTTTACCGGACTAGTGGCGGTCTGGCTGGGTGTAGAGGGGATTGATGCCGTTCCCAAGGGCAGGCCTGCTGCCGCGGGGCTGCCGGCCCGAGATGTGGCGTTTCTTGRATATCCAGGCCAATAAATCCTTCGTTTTAGCTGACTTCAGTTGCTCCAAATGCTCCTTAAGGACCTCTTGGATCACATGGCCCCTGTCCCCTTGGCTATCGGGATTGGGGTGTCCCGTGACGGAGCCGGGCGCTTGGAGGTGCTGAGGTGGGGACCTCTGTGTTGCTTCTGTTCCCGCCATTCCCGGCGCTTTTCCTGCCTCCGGGGCAGCCGAGGGGGCTGCACTGTGGGCGGAGAGGGGCTTCCTGCYGGGCAGGGGTCTGGATTTGGGGGGAATTGCGGGGTTTTCCGGCATGTTGGGGCTTGTGTGACATGCCGGGGAGCGCCCGGGCCTCCCAACGCCTGGAGCTGGGAATTGTGCTCCCGTTGGGCTGCTCTGCAGGGACGGGTGACCCCACAGCTCCCGGAGCCTGAAACGCACCGGGACAGGGCGAAGCAGCGCCCCGACCTGCGGGCTCTCCCACAGCACCAAGGGAACCCGGYGCCGCAGCCAGGGCCCTTCCACCAGAAAGGGGGTCCGGATTCGTCCGAGCTTTGCTTTTTTCCCCCCTTTCCTTCTGCAGTCTCCTGACATGCGGGGCTTGCAGCGGCCTCGSAGGCTCAAGTTGCTGTCTAAACATTGGGTGGGACCGGCCGGGAGCCCAAAATAAGCCAGAAACAGTGAACCGAATCCCAGGCAGCGTTCCCGGGGCCGGCGCTTTGACCGAGCTGGATGTGTAGCAGGAAAGCACAGCGGGCAGGGGGTTTCGCAGGATGCATTTGCCCGCAAGGACAGCTTTGCTTTCTGTGAGCGTGGATGGAGCAAAGCGTGGCCGCCTTGACCCTGTCTGCTTGGAGCAGGAGCCTTGGGGAGATCCCAGATGGGGAATGTGGGGCTTGTTGGGACCTCCATGGGGCTTGTTGGGACCTCCATAGGGCCCAGCACGGAGGGGTCGCTCCCCTCGTGGCCATCACAAATGGGAGGCTCCAGAAGAAGGGCAACGAAGAGGAGTAAGGGAATGGAGCATCTATCACACAAGGAGAGAYGGAGCYGGGCCTGTTCAGCTTGGAGAAGGGAAGGCTGAGCAGGGACCTGATGGACGTGTACGGATTCCTGAGGGGAGAASGCAGGGAGGAAGGGGCCAGGCTCCTCTCAGTGGTGGCCAGTGACAGGACAAGGGGCAGTGGGTGTAAGCTGGAGCACAGGCAGTCCCATCGCCATGTGAGGAGGGACTTCTTTGGTGTGAGGATGCCAGAGCCCTGGAGCAGGCTGCCCRGGGAGCCTGTGGAGGCTCCTTCCCTGGAGGTCTTCAAAACCCGCCTGGATGTGACCGGGCACCCCCTGCTCTGCGTGYCCCTGCTGGAGCAGGGGCTTGGACTGGATGATCCCTAGGGGTCCCTTCCAACCTTAAGGATTTAGGATCTGTGCAATGCACGCGGAGACATCCCAGTGCTTGTCCCGGAGCGCTCCCGGTGCCGACACGCTCCCRGCGCCAGGGCAGAGGCTCCTTTTGGCCTCGGTGGGCTGCTCGCTGCCCTCCTGCTGGCGCTTCCCTGTTGGCCGCCTCAGGGTCCCCGTGTGCGCCGGGGGTCCCTGGGGTGCCGGGGGTCCCACGGTGACCCCCAGCGGGGTCCCCTGTTTGCGSCCCACGCTGTGTGAAGGCGCCAGCGGCTGGGGCCGAGGCGGCACGGATGGAGGCTGCTACCCGGCGAGGTTTACACGAGATGAAGACCATTTACCCCGTGTCCGTGGCGCGGGGACGCGGGAGGGCTCTGCTCCAGCCCAGGCCGCTCCCTGCGGAGCGGCGGCGGCGGCAGAGGGCCCGGGGGCGGCGCGGGCCGCGCTCCTGCCTGCCACGATCCGATCCGTCTGTCAGCAAACAGGTCGGGCTGGATGGCGGGCGGGATCCGCCGGGAGGATCCGCCGGCGCGGYGCTGCCGCGCGCCCTGTTGCAACACGATCCCGCGCTCCCCGCGCCCGCGCTGCCCTCCGCGGCACCCTGCGCCCGCGTTTCTGTCGGTTTCTATACATTCCCGGGGAGAGCCCGCTGGCCGCCCTGTCGTGCCGAGACGGAGCTTTCCCGAGCGACAGGCTGGCTGCCGTCCGGGACGGAGCAAGCGACGCGGGGTGAGCTGCTCCTGCCAAACGCAGCACGAGACGCGCGGCATTCCTCGTTGTCCCTGGTCATCACGTTCGCTCATCCTCATCCCACGTGCCCCTTCCCTGAAAACAGGAGTCAGCGGCAGCYGCTTTTCCTCAATGTGGGGTCTGTGCAGGGTCGAAATGCTCCTGGTCTTGGGGCTCCTGCTCCTTGGGATTGCTGATGTGACGGGCTGAGCTCAGTGCTCGCTTCCAGTCCCGGAGAAAACTGGAATTGCGTGAGGCTTGGGTGTCAGACATGCTGTGTATGTTTATATATTTTCTGTTCGGTGATATATGATGTATATATATCATGATACCTGTGATGTGTTTATATCATAGATGGTTTCTGTTTGCGGCGCGTTGGAGTCGTGCGGGCGCGCAAGGGAATGAGCTGCCGGGCCCCTTCCCAGCCCTGGCACTGGGTGCCCTTTCCCGYGGCCACCGGCATCTCCAGGCATTTCCTTTTAGCTCTTCCCCACGTCAGCCTGGGTTCAGTGCAACCAGAGCATCCCTGGGCAGGGGAAATTCAGCTTGCAAAGGGAAAACGCTGCTGCGGTTTGATGCAGCGATGCTTTTTCTGTTGCCCTGCCACCTGGTGAGGCTTTCTTTTTCCCTCTGTGCGAAGACGCTCTCCTCACGTTGACCCTTATTTCTCCTCTTGCAGCGATATCAGCATGAACAACATCACGAGGCTTCCTGAGGACGCCTTCAAGAACTTCCCTTACCTGGAGGAGCTGTAAGTACCTGCACGGACTTTTGAGCGAAGCTCTTGCTGGTGACACCAGCAGTGGGTCTGTAGGAAAACGGGGTGGGGAAATGACGCTGTGGAAAGAGAGAGCAATTGCACCTGCCAAAAAGCTGTTCCCTGCAGACATTCCCCCTCATCCTCAGGTTTCTCGTCAGGCACAGGGCATTCAGAAATAGGCTTGTGCTCCCACRGAAAGGCCTGTGTTCCTGAACCCCCTTCTGTTTTTACCCTGGCCCCCCAGCTCCACTGGTCACTCTGATGGTATTGTGATTTTGGGGATTTGTGATTTTTGGGATGTCTCGTGTCCTGGTATATCCTGCTCTCCAGTATCYCTGTTTTCCCCGCAGTGGAGTCTGGGGTGTCATTCGGAGTAGTTGTGGCTCAGGCCGGTGGATTTGTTTGCTCCAGTGGGATGTGTGTGCGCGTGGCAGAGCCCGCCCGGCCCTGCTCCGTTCCCAGCCACGTGGTTTAGACGCTGCTTAGACCTACGCTCCGGTTTGGAATATCTCRCGAGGGGAAACAGACTCGCCAGGATGCCACTCCGTGTGTGTCGCAGGGACGCGGCTTGAGGCATGGCACAAAGAACCTATAACAYGAAAAACAAAACGGGGGTCGCTTGGCACAGAGGACCCTCCCTGCACTCCCCCTGTGCTTTATATACGCTAAAATATCCCTGCATTTTATTTTYTTAGGCCTAAGTTTTAGTCCAGATCTTTCTCCCCAGCTCCTTGGTTGTTTCCTCGCCCCGGTTTAAAAACCAAAGGAGCCTCTTCTCCCCATCCCACCCCCMGACCCCACCTGACTGTGGGAGCCTTGGTTTCTTTCCTGTAAGTAATTAAGCAATAAAGCCTAACCGGTGGGTGTGGGTGTTGTGCAACTTCCATAAAGCCTGGCAGGGTTTATGGGTTTAACCCYGGGATGGTTTAAAGGCAGAGCCCTTTGCTGAGGGGACCTCGTTGTCTCCCTGCAGYTCACAAAGGCCCCAAGCTCAGAACTGCATGGAGTCCTTCCTGATGGACTTACTTTGATAAGTTTAAGCAGCTTCTGAAGAAACAAAATGCAATGAAATCCCTTTGCCAGAGGGTTGGCAGATACTGGCACTTGTTTTTGCAGGGGKCTGCATGGAACTGGCAGAGCAGACCCAGGCCCCCTCTGACGTCTGTGCTTCGGTCCGTGCTCTTCCCTAGGGGTTGCACCAGACTAAAGCAAACAAGAAACTAAAGTAAATGGGAACCAAGGCGGGGTGGTGGCCACCTCCGAGCGTGGCACCTTCCTGCTGGGCTCTCCTCCTTCCCTGTGGGACAGTGAGCAGAGCTCTTYCCTGGGCTTTCCTTTGCCTGGATGTTAGCAGAGTGAAACTAGTGGTCGCGCTTCCCTTTGGACAAGCACCGTTCTCGCTCTCCACTCGAGGATAATTTTTCAAAACTTTTTCCTGGATTATTTTTGGAGTGCAKCGGATTCCAATTCCGAGTGCCAGGCCCCAGCGAAGTTGCTTTTCCAGCGCAGGAACCTGGGAGAGCAGCTTCGTGCCAAAGGGAAAAGGAGACAGAGCGAGAGCTGAGTGCTGTGGAAATCCGCGTTAGAAGGAATTTTTCCATCTAGAACTTTTCCCAAGAATTAAATGGCTAAAGCAAACGAGCAATCCCGCCGGCTAACGGGAATGCGGCGGGTGCCGCGGGGCTGTGGAATCCAGCGGAATTCCAGCCRGAAGAGCGGCTCCCGCCGCGCTGCTCCCGAGGGGGATTCGCGCTCGCTCCCGTTTGTCCGATGCTCCGGGAGATGGGCCCGTGACGGGTGGTTGAKGCTGCAGAGCGGCAGCACAGAGTGTTGCAGCTGCGGACGGGGAGGCAGCCGTGCCCTGCGCCCGGTTTGCAAGGGTTCCTTGACGATTCCTATCGTTTCCTTCAGGAATGAAGCCCTTGGGAGTCCTGTCGGGCTTCCCAGAGCGTCCTTTTCCACATCCACAGGCTCGTKCTGGGAATGAAGAAGGGAAGCAGGRGCGGCAGGCCCGGGGCGCYGCTTTTAGCTGCWCTGGGGCCACCCGGGACGTGGGCAGGAGGCTCCACGAGCTGGGGGCAGGTGCCGGGAGCCCTCTGAAGCCACCCAAAACAGCCCCGTTCCGTGGCRGGTTCCCACACGGAGCCTCGAATGTGCGGGATTCATGGGAGCCCCTCGGCTCCCGGTGCCCGGGTATCAGGAGCAGGGAAAAGCCAAGGGCTGGCAGCTAAAGTGTGGTCCGCTGCAGAGCGCGCTCACATTTCTGCAGGATCCCTGCACTATTTATAAATGCTATAAAAATTCTCCATCTCGGTGTAACCGATACCCAGCTGGAAGTAATTTGCGAGGGCCTGGAGCAGCCAGGGCCAGAGTCAGCGAGGAGGAGACCACCAAGGCTCTCGCCACAGAAGTTGATGCCGCGGATTCGCCAGAAAACGCTAACATAAATAACGCCGCGGCCCTCGGCTTCGTACGGAAACTAAAAATCCTTGAAGAATTTGGCCGCAGTTTTCTAACCACACCTTAAAGTATATATAGCAGAGGGAAATATACTTAGATAATGCAGTGTTTTTAGAAAGCGGAGACCGTCTTCCAGCGTGAGTTTGGAGCTAGGAGAGCCGGCCTGCCCTGGTGTTTTGGGGCTTCTCTCAACTGCTGTAGCTGCAGAGGCAGTGGGAGCGATGGGAGCTGCCCACATTCCCTGCGCCGCATTAGCCTGCGGAGKGCCGAGCCACCCCGAGGGCTCGGAGAATCCCTCGGGAAGCAGCCGAGTGCATCCCGTGTGAGGAAATAGCGCAGGGAAGATGCCACGGAGGGCACCTGGAGCAGCCCTGCTCCGTTCCCGTGCGGCTCCTGCTGCTGCCGGCGGCTGCTCTGCTTTGGTCTCGTGTCCGTGCATCGTACGGAGCAGTCCCTGGCCCAAGGGTTCTCCTTGGATTCCAGAAAATTCCACGAAGGCTTTTCCTTAGTGGAAAAKATTTAAGATGTGAGATGTTAGGAAGGCTCCCATCTCCTGGAGAGCCGGAGGGAGGGAAGGCAAGGCCGGTTTTGGAGGCCAGGGCACGCGCTGGGCCTGCTCCGTTCCCGAGCATCTCTTCCCCCGCGCRAGCGCCACGCTCCGCTCCTGGCCTTTAACGGGCACGGTGTGTTTGGAGAGCACAAGGCTTAGTCAAAACCCATGCAGGCGGCGGGRAAGCGAGGTGGTTTTGCCGCGAGGTTGGAACGGGGAAGCGTCTGGGYGGGAAAAGGCTGGAGCTGCTTCCGCCGGCCGGGAGCTGAGGGCGGCCGCCTGGCTGACGCAGCCGCTGCTCTCAGCGTGCCCTTTAGCTGCTCCTCTGCCCTGCAGCCCTCGCAGCAGCCCCGAGCTGCCGCCTSCTCCCCCGGGAGGCTGCCCTGCCGCTCCGTTCCTCTGCCGTGACGGATGGGACTCGTCCGGGAGCGAGGCCAGGGCCCCGGCGCTCCGCTCCGCTCCCTGGGGAGGTAGCACCGTTTCTCCCCGGGCTCTGGAGCGTCTGCGGGGAGGTGGGCTCGGGCTTCCAGGCTGTCTAAAAGTGTCTGCAGGTTGCAGGGGGAATGTTGGGATGTTCCTGCCCCTCGGTGAACATAACTAGCCTTAAATTTGGAGCGGGAAGATGGAGATGAAAAGCAGGGCTCGAGAAGCTGTCGTGTTAACCGGCGTTAGCGCTACCTGAGGCTGTGGCTGAACATCCCTGGTGGATCCCTGGTGCAGGCAGCCGGTTTGGACACACTTGGATGTTGCAGAAATACCGGCTCGGGAGCCCCCCGGCGCTCCTCACCCCCTGCCAGCTCCGGGTCCCCAAAGAGCTGGAGCCCATCCTGCTGCTCCAGCCCGAATTCCAGGAGGGAAAGCTCCAGCGGGGGATGCTCGGTGTGGGTCACACGTGTGCCGGGAGCCGGGGCCGCAGCCGGCGCTGTGGGCGCCCCGCGGGACGGAGCCCCGGGCCAGGACTCCCAAGTGGGATTAACCGCAGCCAGCCGGGATATTTTGGAACATCACCTGCTTGGCCTGCGCGCTGCTCGAGGGTGCTGGAGAAGCCCGCCGGCCGCGTTGCGTGGAATTCCCACGGTCTGATCGGCGGGAGACCTAACTGGGGCGGATTGGGGGCGAGTTTGGAGCCTGCTGCTTTGGGAGCAGCGTTTCTGCGGCCCGCGGGGCTCTGCCGAGCTGAGCACKCCTGTGTGTGTGTCTGTGTGTGCGCGCTCCCCCGCGAGCAGGTCGAGCAAATTCCACGGCTGCGGAGGCGCGGAAGCTCCTCGGCGGCGCCTGTTGCCGCACGTTGCTCCGGCGGCTTTGGCACGGCCGCCGCTCCGGCTCCCGAGAGCTGCCTGGAGCCTCCGCGCAGCGCTGGGAGAGGCGCCTGGAGCCTCCCCCTGTCCCGCCGCCTCCTGCTTGCAGCTTCCAGCTTGACGGTCCCCCGGGAGCCCCTTGAGGGCCCGGCAGCCCCGGGGACCAGCGCTGTGTTTTCCACCAGGCCCCATGCCTGGAAAAATCCAGTTCCCGGCACGAGGATCCCACGGGCATCCAGGGCTGCAGGGGAGCTCCCCGTCGTTGGCTCCCATCCCTGCATCCGCATGGGAGACCCGCGCCCCTTGGAAAGGGAGCTGCCACCACGGAGCCTCCGAGCACGGAAAGCAGGGATGTCTCCACGCCCAGCCCGCCGCCCTGGGAGCCCTTCCCATTCCCTCGGGCCCCCCGTTCCTCGGCATCCGCAGCAAAAGGAAGGCTCTGCTGAGACGTGGCTCCCTTCGAGTTACAGCGGGGCAGAAGGAAAATTCTGTGGAAATTCCCATAGAAAAGCATGTAGGCTTATTTGTCATGATGAGGAGTATGGAATAGTTGCTTTGGGTAGCTCCTCCTGTGCTCAGCAAGCTGGAATCCGTAGTAATTGCTATTTTTTGCAGTGAGAAGTGAGAGGGAAGCAGAGATCCAGAGTGGGAGTCACTAGGCATATATATATATATATAAAAAATGTCTCTCTCTATATATATATATATAGACTCACCCAAGTGCTTTGAGAAACCCGTCAAGGATCGGCCTGATTAGGCTCCAGTAAAGCAAGGGAATGTTCTCGCTGCAAAGCCGAGATGATTTGGGAGAAGCTGGTGCATTTTGCAGAGCCCTTCCTGCGTTGGAGGCAGGAGATCTCGGAGATGCTTGCTGGAGAACTTGGAACATCATGGATAAATGCAGGCATATGGCTGTGGATCTAGGACATTTACCAGTTGTTGAGTTAAATGTGTGAGAAATTGCCCTTTCCAGACTTCGTGTGTCTTAAATGGAAAGCCTGGATGCAAGTGTTGTCTGTGGGTCACTCCGTAGGGGACCATGGAGGGCTCAGCCTTGACTCGRCTTTGAGCGGGACTCTTGGGTCTCACCAGAAAGCAGCTCAGTTAGCTGGGAAAATGAAACTGGTCAGTGAGATAATTCCAAGGACTGCATCCCTTGCCAGGCCTGGGCTTTTCAGGGAAGGTGGGATACAGCTGGGCCCTGGAAAGAAGGCCACGGAGAGCACGTTGGCTCATTTATGAAGCAAACTCTTGGCAAACCTGACGTGACTAATGCCTTGTTCTCAGGGACGAGGTTGACAGCCAGGGTCAGAGTCATCCCCAAAAAGCTTCCGAGAAGCCCTGTGAGTTTGTGGAGGTTTCCACACGGACAGGGGGAGACCTGATTCCGTGCTCGCGTATCCGGAGGTTCCCCCCTACCTGGGATGAAACCGGGGGGGGGGGGTTCCCCAAGGTTTGGGTTGCATCCTGTGGGAAATGAGCGTTGCTTTTAGTTACCGTGGGGCAGAACGTGTCCCTGGGACCCACTGCCTGATCCTGCAGTCACCGACCCCTTGGTTCTCTGGGCCGCCTGCAGCAGGCTGCAAAACCTTCAATTTCCCAAATAAAAGGTAGTTCCCAGCTGCCTTTGGAGAAGTTTCAGCGTGAGAGRCTGTGCTGGGGAGCAAGGTGTCGTGGAAGGGGGTCCCCAAAGGGATGGGACGGTATCCTGGTGTTTGTGGTGGCGAGAAGGTGGCCTTTAGCCCTGCAGGTTGTGGTGTTCTCAAGTGCAAACCAGCCACCCCTTCCAATGCCAGGCGCTTTCAGGGAGGATGTCCACCTGGGACRTGGGTATCTCCCGAGGCTGGGCTCTTCCTAGCGTTTTCAGACGAGCTATGGGAGCCACCAYGAGCTCCCTCTTGCAGAAGGGGGATCCCTTGGGATCCGGGCAGGGATTCCTGTTCCCTGGAAGGCTGCCAGGCTCGGGAGAAGCAGGAAGGGAGCGGGGTTGCGGTGCTGCCGTCGGCTGCTTGCAGGGGGTTACATTTCCCTGGGTCTCAGGCTGTCTGTTTGGGGGCTTTGAGCATTTGCTTTTGATGAGCGTGTGTTCTGCAGGTCCCACGTGTTGCAGCAGGGCTGCCCTCGTTCTGCAGGCAGCTTTTTAGGAAATCATGGAAAAGAGAGCCAGGAAGCGCTGCAATCCCCCGGCTTTCCTAGAGAAGGAAATACAGACGTGACAAAATGAGCTTTGCGGGGGGGTTTGGTCGCCATCTGGACCATTTCATCCCTATTAAAAAACTGAGGCATTTGAAAARCCGTGTCAGGGCTCCAGAATCCAGAGCCTGGTTGCCGACAGAGTATTTCCCGCATAAATGCACCCTGATTCTCCTTGTTTTCCAGTGTCGGYGGGTCACACACGACCAAGCTTTCCCAATGGCCGGGATGTTAAAATACAGGATGTCTGTATTTTCAGAACAGGAGARGCTGAGGTGCAGCTTGAAAGCCCTGTGAGCTGAGGTGCAGCTCACAGGGGTCTCAGAGCTGTAATCRCAGCACCAAAACCAGGGTCTGGTTTAAGGCATCACAGCAACAGACTTGTCCAAAATCAAATAGCATCTGCTGCCGTCGCCTTCCCGTTGAAGGGAACCACTTCCCATTGGCGACAAGGAGGGTTTTTTTTTCCATTTATTTATAAATAAGCTCATCTACCTTTGACAAATGTATTTGCCAGCCGAGTTGTGGTCTCGCTTTGCAGTTCTCTGGAGCAATTTATTTATTTAATTGCAATCTTTAATTGCAATYCAATTTATTGAATTGCAATTAAATTGCTAACTATCCCATGGGAATATTACATACGAGGTCCTAAGTGTTTTGCTAGGAGGCCTGCTCTGGCACTGCCCTTCCTTAGCTTGGCCATGAACCCCGATTTGGAGAGCARCTGTTTGGCTGCAGTGGGACCCCGAGCTCCCCGGGGGGTTCCCTGTTTGGGGTTTTTAGCCTCAAAAACATCGCGAGCGTTAGCGGCCCGGCCGGGGCTGCACCACACCAGGACGTGCCTAAAAGGCTGGAAGGAGCTTTTGGGATCCCCTCCTCTCTCTGCCTGCACAACAGCTTCTCCGCTGCAGAACCTGCCCGCAGAGCCGACACGTTTGGCGGCGGCGGCTTTGGGGCCGTCAGCAGCAGCTCTGTCCGTCTGGGGCATGGGCACCGGGGCACTTTGCACCAGGCAATGCCCGGAGCCCCGGGATCGTGTTTAAGCGCAGCAGGAGAGCGGAATTTCCACCTTTCCGCGGGTGGTTTTCCCTAGCGTGTTTGCAAAAGCACATCCACGAGCCTCCRTGCCGCATTCCCGTTGCTGAACACGTCTCGTGGCTGGAGCAGCTCGTGAAAACTCCGGACATCCCCAATACAGGGTAACCTGCTGGAAAATGCACCGTTGCTGCAAGGTTTGGGGCGCTGGTGGCTTCCCGGGTTCCGCGATCATCAAAGCACTGTATTTGCCTATTGAAATTATTATTGCAATTTTTTTCCAGGCGGCTGGCTGGCAATGACCTTTCTTTTATCCACCCGAAGGCCTTGTCTGGCTTGAAAGAGCTCAAAGTTCTGTAAGTAATCGAGTTTTCGCCCTCCCCAGCTAGCCGTGTGCTCCTGCCTGCCTGCCCGGCCCCCTTGGCCCCTCTGCTTCGTGCCATCCCCCTGCCCCACGCTCWTGCATCTCCCGCCTTCTCCAGCTTCAGCCTTCACTCAAATGTAATTTGTATAGTGCATTTAACCGGGGTGCTTATGGTGCGTTTAATTGGGGTGCTTACTTGGTTCTCAGTTATATTTTGTRGCGGAAAAACCCTTAGAGGGGAATTTAAAAAAAAAAAAAACAAACCCAAACACAACGTGTTTCCCTTGTCTGACACCACCTCCTTGGCCCTCCCCGTTATTCCATGAGATCCTCAAGTKTTTCCAGTTATTACAGGCCCTTAGAGACCTGAGATGGTGTCTGACCCTGTATTGGAAATTATAGAAATTATTTGCRTAGTCTGAGGCCTCTTTAGGTGAGATTGACCTGCTATTAGAAGCATTTCATTGAGAGAGAAAAGAAAAAAAAAGGAAAAAAGGTTACACTTGTGTCTTGTTTCCCACATCCTGTTTTGCTTTCTCAGATGCGAATATTCCCTCCGACCGTTTTTCCATGCCTAAGGATGAAAATAGCTTTCTGCTGTCTGCTGGGGTTTTTGAAACAAAGCACTCTTTTATCCCGAAATCGTGGCGTTTTTTGCTAGTGTAAATATTTCTGAGCGCTAGCGTGGCAGCGTGAGGCTAAWTGCACATAGTTTAAACTAGGCTGGGCACAAAGGGCTGTGAAGGGAAGCAGAGATTCAGTGTATTTGGGTGCAGGGGCTGCTCRGCAGCACCCTTGGGTGCCACGTGTCCGGGCCCACAGAGCTGTCCCCAGTGGGATGTTCAAGTTCAATATTCCAGCAATTGCTGGAAACACTGCAACCTTGGCATATTATGGATATTAATCGACCAACTTGCCAAAAGGCACCAAAATCCAGCACTATATTACACGTGAGCTATCGATTATTTGYGTTCTGTTTATAAAAGCTCTCACGTGCTCATGTTAACACCTTCCCAAAGAAAAGATTTCTTTTAAAAACCCAACCTACCCTGCATTAACCCAGTGTATCTTGGCCCTGGTTTCCTTGGATGCCTTTTCCGTGCCGTGCCCAGAGGGGCTTTGTTGTGCCCACACTTTAACTGGATCACGGACTGAGCGCACTGAGGCGGCTTTGAGGAAAACCAGAGGCTTGTGCATTTTGTAGCACATGTAGGACGATTTCTTTGGGATGATTCCTTAGGAAAACGATGAAATATAACTCATTTCAGYCAGCTGTGCTGCCGTTGAGCTGTCCCGACTGCTCAGTGGATTCCCAGGGGAATTTTGGCACGTGGAGGGTGTTCTCTGCCCGTGAGTGCAGGGAGGGGGGTATCGGTCAAATTGAGCCAGACTATTTCCATGCTTCCCAGTTGGGTTTGGGAATATCCTGTCCTGTTTAATTGCAGTTTAATTTCAATTTTAACTTATTGCATTAGAATGAAATTATTATTATTATTATTAGTTAATAATTAATAATTTATTRTTAGTGAAATCCAAACAGCCCCTTTCTCTATAGACCATGATGGGCTTCTCCTTGGCTAACGCGGTGGGGATTTTTACAGAACCCTGCAGAACAACCAGCTGAAGACTGTACCTAACGAGGCCATCAGAAGACTGAGTGGTTTACAGTCCCTGTAAGTGTTCCTACAGTCTTCTTGTTTTCCCTTTGCTCTCCCAATTGTGCTTTTAGTCACTTTGCTCGCGTTTGCTTCATGCGATAGAGCTTCCAAGTATAATCATTTCTGTGTAATATCRTTCCTGGGTTTTTATATAGTGCAATTTCAACTGAAGCAGAACTTTCCAAGAAAGGTTTGTAAGGAATTTTGGTRGCTGTTTTTGGTAGGGAGGCCCAAATCCCAACTTTCTAAACCCAAACYCAGGCTGGAGGCTGCTGGATAGCCAGCGTGGTGGCGGAGTTAAACGTGGCTCGTCCTGCTGCAAGTCCTAAGGTGTTTAAGCAGCTTGAAAACATTGTGCAAAAGTGAATCATGCCCGAGGCTTTCGTGTTTGGAGGAGGAGAAGGGGCATCTGCTTCTGGGAAGGAGCCTCGTTCGAGACTTGCCTAGCGCTGCCTTCATGGAAAGGTGTTGAAACCACACAGATGTTTACGAACAGCCCGGCCATTAGTGCCTCACAGGGTATTTCACTGCTGCTTATGCTATCTCGTGCCTTATGACGTTTTATAAAACATATTAATCAGCCCTTCATGCGTGGTTGCAGTTCCGTAGGTGGCAGATGCTTATCCCTGCGATGGGGGGAGCGTTTCCTCCCTGCCTGCTGCCCCCCCGCAGACAGCAGGCACGTCTTGTATTCCCCATGGGCCCGAGTCGGGGCTCCCGGCCCGGGACGCTCTTTCTTCCAGTGTCACGGCGGATTAGGAGCGAGTTGTGCGACTCGTGCGGAGCTGCTCCCTGCCTTGCCCAGGGCTGGAGCGTGGCCAGCGCCCGCCCGGAGCCGCGGGAAGCAGCGCTGCCCCTGCTCTGCGCGCCTGGGGACAGGAGGTGGCACCGAGGCGGCCACGCTCTGCCCCGTGCAAACGGGCCGCTCTGCGGCAAACCCCTTCGGAGCGACTGCGTGGGGAGAGGCTTGGAAAAGCTCCCTGCTTCCGGCCTTTTCCTCATGCCACGGAGGAAATTATCGCAGTCTTGTGCTATCTGCAAATCATCCGTTTGGTTTTCAGTGTTTCTCTCTATTTACAGTACTCCTTGCTCCCCATTTAAAATGTTAAATCTCCTGTTGTTGGTAATTTTATGATCAAAAGGGAAGGGACAAAGAACTAAGGAGGAACTAGTGAATGGAGAAATTAAGCCAGTATCCGTCTTTCCCCTCCCTTAATTCATGCATTTAAATAGGYCACTGGCAAAAAAATAATACTAAAAAAAGAGATATCGGGGACATTTCAAAACACGTGAGGTGTTGAAGAAGTCACAGAGTGCTTCTGTACTGTTGTCTGTTTTAATTGGTGTAACCACGTGATGTAACGTGGCAATCCGAAGCGCGGCGACCTTGCCCTGTCTGGCACTTTTGTTGTTCACAGACAAACAATAAATTCTACCAACTTTAGGAAGCTCAGAGAGGAGGAAACGAGGTCAGTGAGCAGCAAAATGTTCTGTTCCTTTTTTTCCTGAGGAAAACTAGGTTGAGTTTCCAGAGCTGCTGTCGGAAATGCCCAAAGCAGTTTGATGCTGCGGTCCCTGCGCGGCGGCGTCAGGAGCTYGGCGAGCGTCTCCTCCACCAGCGATGTGTCTTGCTCTGCTCCCGAGAGAATGGCTGCCTGCAGTGCAAAATCACCCACACTGGTTAAATGAGCAGCTGTCTGAGCACTTTTTTATTTTCATTTATTTATTTTTAGGAAAATGCAGCGAGAAATGTAAAACACTTTTTTCCTATCTATTTTTTAATCTGTGTACTTGAGCAGGGTGTGTTTTGGTCAGTTGAGTGTATTTCAGGAAAAGCTTCCATGTATTCATTCACTCAAAAAACCAAAAGCATGTACTTTATGTATGTCCTCCCCTAATGTAGGGGAACATGGGCCTGGTCCTGTGACCTTGGTGCAAGAGCATGGAAGCAAAAATGACCAGTTCYGCGCTAAGGTTCCCCAAATTCAGGGTGCATAGGAAGACTATCACCTCATAACATGCATTTATGGTCCCTGTCAACTTGCCTGTTGTCCAGCTCGTGTGCAGGCTGGCAAGGAGGGAGCTTCTCCAATGTGCACGCTGCTGTTTGCTGCTCCTGGCTGGGCATTTTCCTTAGCATCTCTGCCAAGCACCGTCTTAAACACTTCAGTGGAAGAGAGCTGTGTGCGTGGCTCAGTGCTGGCTGTTGAACTGGCATCGTGCAGCTGCTGCTGATGAGAACTTGCCGTGGAGCAAAGTCCTTGCCCTGAGGAGGGGACGCGGGGGCTCGCCCAGCGTCCTGCCTCGCGCCGCCTCTCACCTTATCAGCACTCCACTCGGATCCTAACACCTCCTCCAGGGCTGTTGGACTGATTTCTTTGTGGTTTCTGAAGGAGCACTTGGGAGCAAAGTCCTCCAGCAGCTGCTGTTGAGGAGGGTGCTTGAACAACCAACTCGGGCTCGGCTTTTCCTTTCATTAGCATCAACCTGAAGCTGTTCCTAGCAGGGCAAGGTGGCTAAAATTCTCCRTCCCTGAAATGGGAAGAGTGGGATGCTGGTGGTGATTGCCTTGGCCAACGGGGAGTCGTGGGCCCTGTAAATCRCGTGAGGACCAAGTCACTGGGCTGGTGGGTTTTTGCTCCCTGCTCTTTTTTATTGTGTGGTTTGAGCTGGAGTTTGTGTGAGGAAAGAGCCTGACAGGTAATAAAAGCAAAGATGACAGCTCAGCCAGCAGAGTCTGAATTTATAGGCAAAAACGTAAGGGTCTCACRCAAGCCAGGGCCTATAGGGAAGCTGCCACTGGAGTCACTTTTGAAAGATTAAGGAATTTAAGTATATGCTGCGAGCTGAAACCTAAGGAGTGTCGTCTCCTTTTAACGCTTTCCTGGACGAGGGCAGTCGCTGTTAAAGCTGTGTCCAAGCAGTGGAGAACATTCTTGGAAACTGGGTTTCTCTGTGTGTGCCTGTGGAGGCTCCTCGCTCGCAGGTGAGCAGGGCAGCTCCGTATGGTTGTTCCCCTGGAAAATCATCCGTGCCTTTTCAGGCAGGCGTGTGAATTTGGAAGGGAGGAGAAAAGAAAGGCAGGTAATTTCTAAAGGGRTCTGTGTGCTTTCTTATCTTTCTTTCCTGAAGCAGAAGTGCCCACCTACATCCGAGTATTTGCTGCTTAATTCGACGCCCTCCCTGACTTCTTCCCCYGTGGAAATTCCCCTTCAGCTTTTTAAAATAACCTGATAGCTGATATTTTAAAATAGCTTGATATTTTAAAATAGCCTGATTTTTTAAAATAGCCTGATAAAATAACCTTAAAATGACCTTCACCCACGTACATCCCAGTGCCCAAGGAACACGGAGCCACCGGAGCAGGTCCCTCCTGCGGAGGGCCGGGGGTCCAGCCTGGGTGGGTTTCCCTGTGCCTCCACCCCCCGTTTCCCGGCGGATTCCCGGTGCTTTCCTCCCRCTCAGCCGCAGCCTCTTGTCCCGGCGCAGGCGCCTGGATGCCAACCACATCGCGGCGGTGCCCGAGGACAGCTTCGAGGGGCTGGCGCAGCTGCGGCACCTCTGGCTCGACGACAACAGCCTCACGGAGGTGCCCGTGCGCCCGCTGGGCAACCTGCCCGCGCTGCAGGCGCTCACGCTCGCGCTCAACAGGATAACCCGCATCCCCGACTTCGCCTTCTCCAACCTCTCCAGCCTCGTCGTGCTGTGAGTACCGGCGGGCTCGTGCCCCGCTCCTTGCCCTGGTGACTCCTCTAGGGCAGCCCTGGTGGGGCTTGAACCCCCAAACGCAGGGAAACGCAGGGAAAATGATCCTGGGTACTTCATAATCCGCTGAAGAACTGGCAGGGTTGTTTTCCTGCTCAGCTGGCAGCCGAACGTGCCGTGGATCGTGAGGTTATTCTGTGCTTTGCTGTGGCATTTTACTCTAGTAATGAGTATTTAAAACCAGCAGCTGTCGCAGAAAGGTATCAGAGGCGTTCAGGGATGGAAATGCGTGCTGCATGCCTGTTTTGRTGGGGTATATTTAATTCTTTTCCCTAAAGTAGTCTTTAATACCTCCAACGGTAAGCGCTAGCAACTATAATGATTTACATGTAAACCCTATTTTATCGTATTTTTTCCCACAATGTGTAATGATTTCCCCGAGCCACTTCACAATCTMATTTACAAAGAAGCACTTACTAATTGGTCAACTTATGTGACTTCATTTACTTGCCATCATACTTATTTTGTTGTTGTTGGGTTTTTTTCTAGGCATCTCCATAATAATAAGATAAAAACAATAGGAAAGCACTGTTTTGATGGACTAGACAACCTTGAAACTTTGTAAGTATGCTTCTAAAGGTGACTTTTATTGGCTGACATTGGTGTGTCTCCCCACTCCAAGCGACTTTGCTGCCCCCAAAGAAGGTGCTGGGAATGGGGCACGTGCCACGGTGTCCACCGAGAGCACTTGGGTCCAGCTCAGCTCTCGGGAGTGAGGTCTCCACCACGGGTAACCAGAGGCAGATCAATATTAGCCTTTGCTTAGCACTCCACGCAGCCGGGTGGCTGCTCAAGTGGCCTGGCGTGTGGCAAGGAGCAAATATTGGGTTTCTGAGGCTTGCTGGAGGGKTAAGCACGCTTAGATGTGACGATAAGAGGTTTCCCAGCTGGCCCCCAGCCAAAAACAGAGGGTCGGAGGGGAGCAGAACCCTCCCCTCGCCCCACACGTGTTGTCCAGGGCACCACATTTAAGACAACACTAAGTAAATAAGTAAAATTTAGGAAGGGAAAGGCCCRTTAAGAGCCGGTGACAACAGGCTTTATTATCAAGAGTTTGGAGGAGTCCAGGTGTGCTGCTTCCTCCAATTACCTTGCCATTCTCTTATTAAGGTAGGTAATACTTAGACAATTAGATTAGGGTAAGAAATAATGAGATAAGATGTAAATGCAGACAGCTTTTAGAAGGCTCTTTAAAAAGCTTTTGCTCCTCACCAAGAATCTTTGTGTGGTGAAAGGCTGTAGTAGGTTCAGATGTTACTGCTAGAAGAGTGACAGAAGAGTGGTTTCAACACAGTTATTATTTTTATTATTATTATTTATCTTTTTACTAACAGCTAGTAATTTGACATAGCAGCATCTGTTTTGATTTAATATTTATAGTTCTTTATAATAATAAATCCTTTATGGCTCTTTATAGTTCTTTATAATCTTTACTTTGGGGTCTGCAATAGTCTTATGACTTATTTCATGCTTCTTTTATGAAACTCTAAAGGAAAGTGTTCTGAATAAGCTGTTAGAAAGTGAACGTTTTTGTTACCATGAAATGTTAGCTCATTTTTGTGTAAATTATTTTGAAGAAAAAAATGGGAGGTGCTGAAAAATCCTTTGCTGTAAGGAATTGTCACTCATCTTGGTATGAATAATCCTCGGGCTAATGTTAAATTTCATATTAAGTTATTACCTGGTTACTAAGCATATACAACATCAGAGGACTAAATCTAAGTTTAAATATCAAGTTATTCTGTGTTCTGGTCGGAGAACATTTTTTTGTCCTGGGGTAGTTTTGACCATTCATGACCAATATCGAATATTTTCCAATTTTGCTGCGTTTGTTTCTTCTAGGGATTTAAATTATAACAACTTGGTGGAGTTCCCCGAAGCAATAAAAGCACTCCCAAACTTGAAGGAGTTGTGAGTATTACTGTTCATCTCTTTTTTTACACACTTTTTGCTTTCCATAAGTAAGAACAGCAAGGGGTTTAGGGGGTTGAAGAAAGCATTCTCCTCTCCTACAGTAACCTAGATGAGACTAAGTTCTGCCAAGCGATGCTATAATTAAAGGAGAATATAATGATCTGTTAGGGAGAGAATCTATTGAAAATGATTCTGGAGTTATATAATTAAGCTAATTATTTAGGAGAGCCATTAGCATAGATGGTAATCATGAGCTGGTTTTGGCCTCCAGTAGCARGATTATTTATTATTTATTCACTGATCATGCTTATTCTCCCTTGTTGCCACCCTAATGGGGGRAAAAACGTGTAAGAGGTATTTTGGACAGAATAGCTTCTTGCTTATGAAATATTTTCATTTTAATGGTGTGTGGTAGGCACAAATTAGGCTTTCAGAGTTGGTCCTGCAGTTGTACGTACTCCTATTTACTGGCAATCCTATTTTTTCCGCAAGAGTGGGAAGCGAACATATACAGTCCGTAGACACAAAGAAAATGACTGTGGGTTGAGTCTAATGGTGATACATTTTTTAAACGTTGGTTTTCATCTTTGTTAATATCTCCAGGGGATTTCACAGTAACTACATTTCCATAATTCCTGATGGTGCTTTTGCAGGAAACCCCCTTCTAAGGACCATGTAAGTCGCTTTCATGCATCTCTTTCCAGTCTCCCTAGCTGCAGTGGCCATACGAGCAGGGACTGAAACGTGTTTTTCATTTCCCAGACATTTGTATGACAATCCCTTGTCTTTTGTGGGGAACTCAGCCTTTCAAAACCTCTCAGATCTGCATTCCCTGTAAGTACCACCTCAACTATCTAGTCCAGTAAATGACTGTGAAATGGCACAGCTAAGAACTCAACTAAATTCCCTAACTACTTCTGCCTCTTAGTTTATGCATACATATTTTTTTTTGCACTTAATTTTAACCAACRTGGTGATGTTTGGAGATACCAGTTCCTTAAAAATGCTGATAAATATGCTTTGCAGTTTATTTATTTATTTCACCTTGATTACTTTGCGTAAGGCACGTAACCTCAGGCCAAATGCTCAGATTCTTTCTTAAACACTGCCGTGTCCTGTGTGGTTTCTGAGCGGGGATATACATTGTGTAAATGCTTTGCAGGTTAGTGCATGCTTGCTTGCAGCACCTATTGGTTCTGGGGGGAAGGAATAAGCAAAAGGGAGTGAGATTTTGAACCCTGAACAAGCCCCATTTTTTGTCAAGGGAGCAGTAATTTATTAAGCAAATTATTAATGCAAGAAGCACTAGAAGAAAATCCTTTTGTGTAAAATTTAAACCAAAAAAAAATTAGTATGTTTTCTTACAGTACCTTATACCAGTACCTCTCAATTCATTTGCAGAAGAGAGTTTACAGCTAATTTTTGTTTTATTTTCTGTTCTTTTAGGGTCATTCGAGGTGCCAGCATGGTGCAGTGGTTTCCTAACTTGACAGGAACCACTAATCTGGAGAGCCTGTAAGTGTCTTCTGCAAAAGTCATTTCCAATAACTTGCTGCTTTGGTCTCTTGTGAAGCAATTGAATTTAGTAGGTGTGTCTGGAAAGAGGTGCTGWCTTCATGTCCAGAAATTTCAAGAACTCACATAGCTTTGCTTGCCGTGATACCTGGGTGCCCTGACAACACCCTGTGAAAAATACCATCAATATGAACCCCCTTCTTTCAAAACTGGGAAACAAACAACCCAAAGGATTCCTGCTGGGTGAACTGGGCACCCTAATAGCTGAGGCCCCATCTTTTTCTGCTCTTACTYGTGCTTGTTGTGTGATCAAGAATGCAAACATTTATACACCCTTTTTTCCCTCCCACAGAACACTGACAGGGACCAAAATCAGCAGTATTCCCATCAATTTATGCCAAGAGCAAAAGACACTGCGAACACTGTAAGTGCTCCTGATTTCATCTCCACCAGAGTGGTTTTCAAGAATTTTAAAGCTAATTTAGAGTATTACTCAGAACTGCTCGTCCTGGTGGTTCTGCATTGGAAATCTGTCTCGATTTATTCTTCAAATCTACTAGCAAGAAGGTTTTTCTGCCGCTTTGTTTGCTGAATGGTTTCAGTGATGTGGTGTTACAAGCAGAACAGAGCACTGACAGAACTAAGCGTTTTTCTCCCATTTTGTATTTTGAAGGGACTTGTCTTATAACAACATAAAGGAACTCTGGAGTTTTAAGGGCTGCCGTTCTTTGGAAGAAATGTAAGTAGAAATATATGTTGGGTTGTCTTCACTCTTTAGTATGACCAGTTCTGAGCTCCAGAAATTTACGTTTTGCTCGTTTGCCCATAAGTATATTTTTAAGATTAAGGCCAGAAAGAAAGCATCTGATGTCCCCTGTCAGCCAATTGCATTGTCCCGAAGTAGCTAYATTTTAATTGTTCCTGTGCCATAAAAAAGGACAGACACATTAATCATGCATTTCACAGTGGTGGTGTTACATGCATACAAGGAATGAGCATTTTTCTATAGTATTTTTCCTTCTCTTTATTTCCTTTCCATATCAATTGGTGCCATCCAGCATAAGCTATCCCTTTTCTACTAGTCCCTACAAGTCACATTCTCTTTCCTCAAAACGCATCTTTTTTTTTTTAATTCCCCAAAGAAAAAAAAAAAGTTTTCTACTCCTTTATTTCTTTTCTTAAATAAGTTCATATCTCAAGAAATACAAATGTGCCCAAGGCTAGAGCCTGACYGAAAAATTCCTTGTAGAATTTTTGGTTTAATTTTGATTTAAATCCAGGCTAGCCCCATGGTTTGAAGTAAGCCCAGTTTGCAAATGAAGTTTTGTTTCTACTGCTTCTCTTTGCAGTTCCTTGCAGCATAATCAAATCCATGAAATCGGAGACGATACTTTCCAGGGACTCTCCTCCCTTCGTATCCTGTAAGTGCAAGTTGTTACGTACTGAACAGAACCAGCTAAAGTTTCTAATTCTAATTCTAACATRTAAGTGCATGGCAGGGTTTGATGTTCTGAATCTGGTTAATGTCAAACGGCCAAACATGCTGGATTTCCTGTGGTAAAGCACTCAATATTCCAGGAGAAAATGCCAGTAGCAGCTGCTTTCAGTCCCCCCTTTTTCTGCTCTCCGTGCTGGTCTTTTCAGACTTTCACATAGATTTGTGTAATACATAGAAAGAAAATATATGCTTGCAAGTAAGGACAGGTAAAAATAATATTTATTTTTACTGAAAGCTGTTTAAATGTGTAAGTAAAAATGAGATAAATATTATTTCAGGCACAGAAAACTGAGTGTCCAGTTGCTGGGGAGTTTTAGTGTGGAATTGCATATACAAGAGATATTTTCAGTAGTCCATTATTTGTATTATGCATCTCTTCATTGGAGATGTACTGTCAGTTTTCCTTGACAGGAGCAGATTAATAATACCAACTAATCCCCTTCCCTAATCCTTCCATCCATGCAAAGCTTCCCTCTAAACTTTGACATTGTCCCGGTTGCTGCCGGACTGTCGGCAGTTGTCCCCAAACTGAGCTCCCTGGTGGAGCAGGACAAGCAGGGAAGCGGATGGGACATAGGGGCTGCCTTGGGGACCACGTGGAGTCTGGCAGCCTCACCAAAACCGGGCTGCCTCTGTGCCCCTGCGTGGAGCGGGGAGAGGAACCGCCAGAGCTGCCTGAAGGTGTCATTTATTGCCCAGCTTGTTTTCTCCATACAGTGACTGTTCCAAGTTTGGGATGGAAACGCTAAAACGGTCTTCTTTGGCCTTCCTTGCAGGGACCTCAGTAGAAATCGGATYCACCAGATCCACAAGGAAGCCTTCACTACCCTTGCAGCTATCGTTAACCTGTAAGTGGGCCGTTCTGGGGAGGGACCTCCTCTTGCCAGCGTTAAATTGAGGAAATTATTTACATACGTGTATATTTAGCTTAGAAGTGACGTGTATTTGTCTTCCGTTTCATCTCTGTGGATCCCCAAAGCTCTTGCAAGCTAAATGCATGTGGAGCAGAGTAGAAAAGTGCTTCCTTGGAGCCGTTTCCCGGAGCACAGCCCTGGTCTGACGCTTCCCCCTCCTACAGAGCGTGCTGGGGCTCGCGGGGCCTCCCCTCTCGTGACACCCTGTTCATGTTCCCCTTCCAGAGACCTGAGCTTCAATGAACTCGCTTCAGTCCCCACCGACGGCTTGGGCGGGCTGAACCAGCTGAAACTCGCGGGCAATTTGGAGCTGAAAGAAGCTCTGGCAGCCAAGAACTTTGCAAAGCTCCGGTGCGTTGCTTAATGACACTGCCCTTTTCCTTGGACCCTTTTATGTTATTGTTCCTGGGCTTTTTTTTTTGTTGTTCTAGACAGATGCCATCTGGCTTTGGCATAGCCGTTTGGATGGTTTCTGTTTGTTGTTTTGAACTGAGCACATCTGTCTTTCAGAGGGTGGGAAAAGGAGACAGACTCCCAGGTCCAGCTCCATAATCGTTGTGCTTTAGACAAGTGCTGTTTATTTTTGGAGGCAAATGATAAGAGCAACAGTATTGACTCGAGGTGAAACCACTCAATTTCATCAGGTGGTGAATGGGGGATCTTGAGCTGTTTTTCAAAGATCTTGCTGATTATTAGTCTTCCAGTCCCTAAGAAACAATTAAAAATGGTTTGCTCCTGCTGTCAGTTGGGAAAGTGGCAGTGAAGATAATGGTGATTTGTCCAAGATCAGCAAGAAAGTCCACAGCATTTTTAGGATCTGGTCTCAGCAGTTCTGTGGAGGTAACAGACTTTGCTGCTGACCTCTGGTTGAGAATTAAAGCCTGGCTTGTGCATTAGTGCGTCCTAGATGTTCCTCATAAGCCCAGGAGAGCAGATTGCAGCTGGTGGCTGGTATTGCAGCCTTGATCCAAAAAGATTTTTCTTTGGACTGCCGCCACGAAGGCATCGTTGTCCACACAGGTCAGTTGTCAGCAAAAGGAACATGGAGCCGATGCGTTTTTAACGTTGGGGTGAGCTGGAAATCAGCTTCCTTACGGAACAGCCTCTGTATAGTTATCTTGCTTGGTGAGCGTGCATGTGTACCACAAAAACGAGTAGGAACTTGCCTTGCATAGGGAGAAGAGCGAGCAGTAAACTAAGCTAAGTATGACGGCATGCTTTTGTACTCCTTGCTGCAAACAAGGCTCGGCTGCATCACCTTCCCTCTACCCCCGTGGAAGAGCTCATCAGAAACGATTGCAGCCAATCCAGCCTGAAAGGGCTTTTCTTAGCGACTCTGACAGAGAGAGGCCCCACTTTTAGAACTGAAATGAGCCACTTGGGGCTTTGAACAGCCCATGAGCTTGCTCGGGGGTGCCCCACATAACCGTGCGGGCGGTTCTGCCTGTGTTTCAGGTCTCTCTCYGTGCCCTACGCCTACCAGTGCTGCGCCTTTTGGGCTTGTGACTCCTATTTAAGCTCCAGCGCCGAAGACGCCGCTCACCAAGGCCCAGGTGCCGTGATGGGTGCTGAGAAAGGTGAGTGCTGCTGTGCAGTGAGTGGGACAGCGCGGCTGCCCTGGCCCTGCTGGGCCACGTATCAGCGCGCATTGCCTTCGAATAAGGAAGCCTGGAAAGGAATCCCAATCTTTGTAGGGCTGGAAAAGCTGTTTCTGGAACAGCTTGGTATGTGGTCACACCTGGGCAGTGCCTTGCTGCTCCTCTTAAATGTGTGAGATGTGACAGCACAAGATTTKCCTGTTAAAAATGCCCCTTATTTTAAATTGCCAGGGTTACTCCTGTTGTTTTCTTCCAGAGCTCCCAGCAGAAAAATCCAATTGGTCTCTGCTGAGACCAAATCCCATTCAGACAGGGCTTGACTCTCCAGTTTATGGCCCATAGATGTTTCCCCAGCAGTGAAGGGTCTGTGTCTTGGCTATCAAGCACTGTGAGTAACTGGGGCAGCCARCAGTGTCCCCAGCGGCTACAGCAACTTCTCCAGGGAGCCTTTGACCAAACGTGGCCAACCCCAACAGCTCCACTTGTTAAAGCTGGAGCGCGGATCAAGAGTTGGGCCTTTGGTCTCATGCTGCCATCTGAGGAAGCTTTGTAGCCTTGTAGCCTCTTCCCCTTTCCATGACTAACCTGTTTTTCATTTTGCTTGGATACAGCTGATGCAGATGGCGTAAGAAACGATGAAAACGAGGAATTGAGGCAGASTATTATTCACTGTACACCACCAACAGGTAAACCTCATATTATGTGAATAGCCGGGTACGGAATTACCCGTTTCATCCCTCAGAGTCATTCGGTGCACGGAGTAAATTTACAGTGCTTTGGTGAAACCTCATTTGATGTCAGGGTTGTTTGGCATGAGCAAATGCAAAAAGATTTGGCCAGGCTTTACACACGGTGCACTATATTGCAGAGCTAAGTTGGGGAGGGGGAAAAAAAGGGAAGAAAAAGAAAGTTTGTATCCATAAGCAGGATGTACACAGGACTGTGATCCTTGTTTGGATTGGGCTGTGTTCAGTGGTGCTGCCAAGGCCGTGTGTGTGGAGCCTCCTTGGCTCAGGGAACGTGGCCCTGGTCCCATTCCTGGTGCCGCTCCGGCCACGCCGACGGCACCGGGGGGCTCCCACGGGTAGCTGGAGCAGGCAGCRGTGCTTGGAACTGCCCCGGAGGAACATTGGGAGCTGCAGGTCTTGCAAAGGGAGATGTTTCTTCCTMGGCAGCTTCATTGCTGCCCTTCTGCTCATCTTCCTTCAAGGGAGAGTTTCCCACCGGCTGTGGGGCMTCCTCCTTGCTCGTCCTGGCCATGGGCTCCTTAGGAAAGCCTCAGCATATAGACAATTACAAGGATTTCTGGATCACAGCAAAATTTCTGTGGTCAGGAAGTCCAGCGCATTGCTGGTGTCACTGTGCACGATCTGGGAATTAACTTGACCCMTGCTGCTTATGTGCTTTTGATCTCCTGTTTGCAGAAGGACGATTCAGGTGGTATACGGCACGGGTTAAATCTTTAAAGCCTTTAAATCTCTCTTTTTGCCCCTGCCAGGGATGCTGCAGCTCTAAAAGGAATGAAGAGCTTGTTTTACAAGTTTACAGTTTGCCTTGTTTTTCCACCAGTCCCTCCCATACTAACAACTCATTTTCCAGCCCGTATGTCATCTGGTCAGAAGTAGGACACTCCACCCACCACACGAGTCCTGAATCATCCGTGGCTCATCKAGTGCAGCCACTTTCCACTGGGCCTCGTGGCCGGGATGGCATCTTAATAGCACGGGATGGCATCTTAGTAGCACAGCACCCTCCCYGAGTGAATTTCCCTGCGTTGCCCGGGATGGGGTGGGAAAGGCTGGGAAGGGAAAGTGGGAAAGGAGAGGAGGGTTGAGTTTTAATCTGTGGAGTAGGTAAATGTTAGGAGAAAGATGGGGAGATGTGGTGGGTTCTGTTGCCACCTCTTTTACTGTCACTAGTTCACTTTGGAAACACCAGGGTCACGTTGTAAAATATGCCAGCTGGGAAGTTGTCTTTATTTTTGAATGTTATGCAGATGTAAGCAGATCTGGTGCCGTGGCATTGATGTACCTTGGTTCTAGTGATGGTCTCCCACTGTGGGATACTTGCAAAGAGAAGAGGAAGAAAACACGAGGGAAAAAACGGGGGACTATGCAGCTGATTTTAATGCTGCACATGGTCTGATAATGTAGTTAGCAATATTGCTGCCTGGCCAGAAATACAGCTTGGTCATTTAAACGGGCAAACAGGAAGGATGCTTTTTTTCCGGCCTTGGCAGTTCACAGACCATGATGCTGAGGACAATTAGCAGCTCCTAATGGGGATGCAGGAGAGGTTAAGCTCTTCCAGTGGTGATATAAAATCAAGGGGGATTTTCCAAAGGAGTAAGTAGCAATTAGAAGGATTAGGAGGATATAGTAAATTTTTTTTTCCCCTTGTCTCTCCTCATATTATTTTGCCTGTTGCAAGTTGTATTAGTTGAGCTTTTTACCACTTCATTCTTSAGCTCAGTGGCGAGAAACGCCCTTTTCCCCCTGTGCCTCCCCAGTGCCTTTCAGCAACAAAAAAAGAGGGGAAAAACCCCACGTGGGGCGAAATTCCTGGCCCCACTGGAAGCTGATAAGCTGAATTTGTCGGCTGTTTTACAGATGTTTTGTGTGATCAAACACTATTCTGGAAGGCGTGTTGGGAATTACTGTGTTTTGAGAGAGCAGCTTTTGGAAACTCCTCCCCCCTGTAAAGCTGGATGTGGATATTTGTTTTTCTTTCATTACCAGCTTTGCTTATGAGGTGTAAAATCAAAAGAAAGAGAAAGGAATATTGAGGTGGCACTAATAAAAGCTATTCTGGGCCGCTAAGAGGTAATTAAGCTTGTTTGTTTGGCTTGTTTATACCAAGTCTTCCCCAGTGACCATTCAGGGCAGTAATTATTATTCCAGGCATAATGAATTAGTAAATAGCTTCGCAGAATAGCTGCCTTTCAATGACCTATTTAGCAGCTCAGCCGGGCACCCTCTCCATGAATTAATGAGGAGGGCCCCTGTGACACCTTTGGAAATCCTGCTTATTAAGGCCTGATTTGGTTTCCCTAAGTTGCTTGTCCTTGTCCTCCTAGGCGCTTTCAAGCCCTGTGAGTATTTGCTGGGCAGCTGGATGATTCGCCTCACGGTCTGGTTCATTTTTGTGGTGGCTTTGGTCTTCAACCTGCTCGTCCTGCTCACCGTGTTTGCCTCTTGCGCTCCCTTGCCRCCCTCCAAGCTCTTCATAGGCCTCATCTCCGTCTCCAACCTCTTCATGGGCGTCTACACCGGGATCTTAACCTTCCTGGACGCCGTCTCCTGGGGACGATTTGCCGAGTTCGGCATCTGGTGGGAGACGGGCAGCGGCTGCAGAGCCGCCGGCTTCCTGGCCGTGTTCTCCTCGGAGAGCGCCGTTTTCTTCCTGACGCTGGCGGCCGTCGAGCGGAGCCTCTC